TCTCGTTTGGCAGTGATCATTACAAGCAGTGAATACAGAGCTTAAACCACTGAAGTAGTGTAATTAGTAGAGTCGAGGGAATAGTGTTGGACACACCTACTTTCAAGGTAATCCGCCGCCATCAATCTGCGCAAGATGTGTCAAAGTCGGATATTGAATTTGAGATGGGCACTCACAATTCAAGCGCAATTTCAGGGGGAATACGTTCCAGAAAATCTGGGATTTCCTCATTTTCGGCTGCATTCTGCGACTGTGCTCTGAAAGACAAGTACTCGACGACCTTCTCAACGACAATACCTCTGAACGGTTGTTGGTTGCTAAAGTGAGGATAAACGCGGAGAACGAACCTGTGGGGGACAGTACACGTGTTACTTAGGGACTCAGCGAAATTGCTGTCCTCGTTCAGCGAGGCCGCAAGAGTGGGGCTTGCTATGGCCACTTTCCGTTCCAAAATGAAAGAGAATCCGTCGTCACTGGCTATACGAACCCATCGTGCAGGTTCCTTCTATTTCAAAAAAACCATTAAACGAGAACACACGAAAACGAAATTACAGTAATGACGCTAGCGAACCTGCTCTGAATCTTTTGTCATCGCTAAGTCAAATGAAGGATCTGACACGCGGTACCGACGATCTTTCTAATCACGTGGCAGATAACGGGGCATTGACAAACAACCATAAACCTCAACAACGCCACTATCGAGGAAGGCAACCTCGCTCAGTGTCCAAATACTACGCCCGTAGCCATTTGGCACGAGAAAACAGTCGATGACAACTGACACTAGCGGCAAGGCCAAGGAACTCCTCGATTCTTTGGTGGAGCCCCTCACTGCCCAAGTCCATCTTCTTCCAGCCATACACGCGCAGCTGGGTCTTCCGAGCTCTGCTATAGCAGCTGATCTCGATAAACTCCGTGTGGTTCTTGCAGATGCAATAGAGGCCCAAATACAGCAACGGCGAAGCGAAGTTAAAGCATGGTTGGAACGATGCGACAAAGTTGAAAAGGACTGCAATGTCTTGGCGAAGAGCACGGGGCTAGATAAAAGCGAGAAACCACCCACATCTACTATTTCTGAGCTTAGGAAGATAACTGTGAGTGATTTGGGTCAGCTGGACACGTTCTTCAGAATAGGAATATTCTCACGCTCTTGTCCGCGGCGGCGCCACGGATCGTATCTCGCGCAGAACATTCCGGAACGCCTTGAGCAGTTAGTCGCTCTTCGAGACTCACTCAATGCGGTATGTTTGAAAGTTTGACACGGTCATTTGGTCCATTTGTTCACCCTGTTCTTAACTTTAAGATTTATGCCGTTAAGTTCGAAGAAAAGAACGCATTGACTGTGGAACTCGAACGGATCTCGAAGATAGTTGGTCTTGAGTTTTATTCGGCCGATGTTTTGTCTGCCATCAATATCTCAGCGTCCGATGCCAAGGGTAACGATGCACTATGGAGGGACGTGACACCACAAAAACTGAACAAGCTCGAGAGAGAGATTAAACGTGGATTGGAGGAGATCGTAAGCACATCATTTACTCTCTGTATCTCTATTAGTTTTTTGAACTTATACTCGCTTTGAGTAGAGTACCAGGCAAGCCGAGCTGACGAAACTGCTTGAGCAGATAATGTGGTTGCATTCCGAGCTTGGTCTCGAAATCCCGGACCCCGACGCAGTCGAAGATCTTAGCATAATAATTGCGGATGAACAACAAGCCGCCACGTCCTTCAATCACAGTGCGACGCAAGGGCATGCCTCGAGTAGTACACGCGCGACACCTCAAATGTACAATCGAGTCCTCTCTGAATTCGCAGCACGCATAGCCGAATTGGACGAAGACAGCTTTGAAAACTTTGTTTTCGATGGCGTTGATCCAACTCTTGACATCATTTCGTATTTCGGAACAATTTTACAGGAGGTGAGGTTTTAGTTCATTCGTAACATCTGCATGCACCGAGAGAAGGAATCCATACCAAAAAGTTAGAACAACGCATGAAGACTAGACAACAACAAATACAATCAATGTACGACGAGCTTGAAGTTGTTTGGAAACGCCTTAATATACCAGAGATCGAAACGGAGGGATTTGTCGAACGGAATCGGGGCACCACTGACGATGTTATTCAGGCGGTAAGGTTAAATAGACAAACTTCTTATTATCCTGATGAACTCAAGCCCTTCAAACAGTATGAAGCGGAACTTGCTCGCATGACTGAACTGAAGCTGCAGAGTCTTTCTGGCTTTATTGCTATCGTGCGAGGGGAGTTACAGTCCCTTTGGGTCGACTTGATGATGGGTCCCAATGATCGTGCATTGTTCGCTCCGATGTGGAAAGGTATTTCGCAACCTTCAATACCTCGCGATGGGGTAATTCATGTGTTATATACAGATGAGGAAGAGGAGGAAGACCCGGAGGCACTTCTCAATGAGCACGATTTAGAAGTGGCCAGGTTGAAGGAAGAGAAACGGTCCAAAGCCCACATTCTTCCGTTTGTGAAGAAGTACTTCGAGATCTCGAATGACGAGAAGATATTAGCGGTTCGTTATTTTAGAGCCGCAATCATAGAATCACTCCAATACCGATCTGTAGGAATCAGCCTCCGACACTTCGCGACTAACAGGTCGAGGAAACCGGGACCCTGGTCGACTCCTTCGAGAGGAAAAGATGCGCAAGCGGGTGAGGAAGGAGAAGCCTCGAGTGAGTCTGGAATCACTTCAACTACCGCTCCATTTCACTCAACCCTTTTGTGGATGTCAAGCTACTCCGAGAGTTACTTGACTTTGTGTCGCATTGGGAGGCAGAGCATAGGTCCGAATTCCGTGTAGAAGACACATCACTTCTCGCTTGCCTGCAGCAAGATGCTGAAGCCGAAACATCTTCGAACCAAAGTAGTCAGAAGGTGAGTCTTGCTGTGTTAACCACCTGAATCAGTCAAGCTTACAATTCTCCAGAGAACCAAGGCGGCCACGATGTCAATTAGATCCGTGACACCTGCCCCTGGCGGCTCTGTCCAAGGGTCTGCCCAAAAGCACGGCCTTCCGAGCTCAGACAGCGGCCCACTTGCTAAACGGGCAAGGCTTACTCCTACCAATGCTCCAAGGAAACCGAACTCCACAACTCATTCACGAGGCGTCACGCCCACACCATCGAATAACCGAAACACTACTCCAGCAACCTTCGGAACGACTGTCCGTGCGCCGCTGCGAGTTAGTTCACAATCAAACGGTACCGTTCCGCCTTTACCGCCATCATATGACAGCGTCAAAATATCTGCGCATCCTTCAATATCCAACACCTCGTCAGGTCACGGCTTTGGATCCGTCATTGGCCTTGGCACTGCTCCATTGAGACTACCGAACGGGGCATCGGGCTACGCTCAGTCCCTTAGGTCTGGATCAGGATCAACGGTGAGAAGCGTTTCGGCTTCGTCAATCCCTCGACCGCCGTCCGCTGCGCTCGCTCAAGCAACTGCAAAAGTGGCTAGAAGACGGGATAGTTTCAAACCCCGACCCAGTTTGGATTATGCATTAGTAGACTTATCGGGAATGCACAGTGCTGGCTGCGGAGGTGAAGAAATCCTAGAGGAGAGTGACGAGGAACTGGAAGTGTATTAATTAGAGGCCATGATACCCTTTGGCGTCCATTTTGATCATTGCTTTCAAATGCCTGTGTGTTTATGTTATTTGTACAGTTTTCGTTGTGTAATGAATTCCAAGACCTCTGTGTATCGTTATGTACATGCAATTTGAGATGCGAATAAAACTACATAGATGAATCTGAAATCAGTGATTTGGTCCCAGATTGGTTGGAGCGCCCGACTGGGCCGGGTAATGATAGGGGTCAGAAATAAACCATGAGCTATGCCCGAAGGGAAATTGGTCGGGTAACCATGGTACCTCCAATGAAACGGAGTCAAGCGAGTATGTTTGGGGAGATTGTTCGTACGAGTACAGCATATCGTACGGGTTGCTTACTGAGAGCGTATCGAAGCGAGGTGGACCGAGACCTGCAAGTGTCTGGAGAGCTATCGGGCCGCCCCCGTTTGGCTGTGTCCCTGAATAGGGTTCATTACCCATCGACCGCTCCACGTTGCTCGAGGAAGTACTCTCAACTGATCTCCATGGCTCCTCATGCATTTGGGGAGATGATTGATGCACAGAGTTTAATCTATTCCACCGAGGATTAGTCGAAGCGCGAATATTATTAATTTTGGTGCGTACTGTGATCCATGACGCGATCCAGTTTCGGTAGGCACGGTCGGGGTCCCGCATTCTGTTTGCGGGGCTTGCTTTGACCTCCGTTCCGTTGAAGAGTTCATTGCTCTGTCAAATAGATCATTCAGCAGCCTCGCAGTGACTGCACCGGAGCTCCAGGTGCTTCCAATTTCTTCTAATATTGCAATGCAGTACGACACATTGCGTGCATCGTCTCCCCGTTGGTCCTGCGTGATGGAAGGTCCGATTGCTCTCGCTAAGTGAATTAGTCCTGCGACGTAGGCTATCTGCACGGCTGTAATAGTGATCCGACGAAGGCCATATATCTCCTGGTATCGATGGAACAGTTTAACAATCTGGCAGGCTGACGAGGTGCAATCTCGCAGCGCAGTCACTTGCAAATCGTAGATCACCGCTTCTCTGCCTCTGAGTGCACGGGCTGAATTTTGTGTGGCCGGCGTCATCACTCCTGTCTTGAAGAAGGGCCGGAGTAAGAGGATGAGAAGCCAATGGAAGCAGAGGTTTAGATTGAATGTATGAGGGGGATACATCGCCCCTTTGATTCCTAACTGATTTTGATGGCACCGCAGGCGATCCGGGAGGTTCTGCTCCCATTGGCGCATCTTGCCGCTAAAGAGGTGTCAGATGTCGGAAAGAGTCATTACAACAGGCCTAGAAGACTTACTACAGTTGGCGGACGCGGGATAAGTCCAACTCTCGGTACGGAACATATGCTAGTTCCAGAATCGTGGATGCGATTTGCATCAGGGTGACCTGGTACTGGAATGTAAAATCGACGGCCACGGGGCTCGGGGCACCTCCCACTCCCAAATCATCCAGCATGCAGAGATGTACGTCCATCCACTCCGATAGCTCCTTGGCTTCCCCCGGTCCCTCAAAGTCCTTTGGAGGAAGTCCCAAACCCTGAGACCTTCCAACATAAAGACTCCAACACTTGTCCTAATTCTGTGTTAGACAACACCGTCAACTGCACAGTGCACAGACCTACTTGGCAAAACAAGCTCCAGAAGATCCAGTTTCGCTCCAGTGCGTTATGATTCGGGATTCCACCTCCCTGAAGCGTTCGCAAGGGCACATGCAGTCCGACTATCAATGAATTAGATCACGGTCCATGAGTTGAACCAAATAGACTCACGAGATTCCCCCATCCTAACGGCCATCCCTGTCAAAGAAGAAATGTCAACATAATATCATTTCTACCGTGGACTGTGACTCACCAAAATACATGAACCCGAGCCCTGCTCATTGGGCTGGTTCAGTGCGTGTTCAAATAGGTGAGGGCGAGATAATCCTTACCCTGTTCGGAAAAGCCTGAATGATAAGATGACAGGACAGCAAGTGCCACGACTGTCGCAAGGGAGGCTTGTTGGCATTCAAACTCCAAAAAGGATTTTGCGTGCTTCGCAAACTGATCACGAAAAGCGCGGGACTGGCGTTCTTCGTCTCCAGAGTACGCGAATGCTACAGAGAGTATCGCGTTGTGCAGCATCTTGGAGTAGTGCTGAGTGTAAATCGGAATGGAGGGGTTGAAGGTTGCGACACCCATATCCCGAAGAAACAAATGGGGGATCACACGCAACTGCCAACCACAAAAGAAGGTGAAGAAATCCAGAAGGATTTTATCATGTTCGTGCCTAGGCAACTCAGAGGCGATTAACTCGGGGAGAAATGCGTTCCAATTCGCACAGGGATATCCAGAGTGTGAGTTGTCTGGTTTAGGCCTCAGCTGGTGAGGTCCATACCAATCCCCCCACAAACCGGAATCTAGTTGTAACTCGGCGGGAGGGAATGGAGGGTGGTCAGAGAATGGCGCCGTTTTCCCGTAATATTGAATGCGGCCATTTTCTAACTGCAAGATGCATTGGTAAGGACCCTCACGCATCAGGAAGATCGACAAACTCACGACAAGCCCTCCCATCGAAACGGCCAACCCACTTGTGTCAGAGTAATTCCCATCCGAGGCCGCATTCCCTTCGTCGATGCTCTCGAGGTCCTCCCCATAATCCAGTGATGGATATCCATTCTTCTCAATGATGGCTTGGAGTCGCTCAACCTTTGTTTCTAATTCACGAATTTCCCGCCTGAGGGTTTCTGCATCTCGATCCGAAAGGCGACGACGATGATCCACCTTCCCCTCCCAGTCACACTCAGAACCACGAGTAAGGCATCGTGTGCATGGAATGGCAACCCCACCGTTCGCAGGGGAGACTCCATCACATTTGCGGTGGCTACGGTAAAGGGACCGTTAGCTACATCATCATTTTGGTGCCAAGGAACTGCATACCTCCTGGCACATCGTGCACATGATTGCGAACTTTTACGCGTTGTCTGGTTTCTGGAGGAAGACGAAGCCATCAATGGCCTGAATTGCGCAATAATGCACGAAGATGACTGGGGGGGAGCAGTGTGTCACCATTCGCTCAACCAGGGGCTGGTTATAATGAAAGCCAAGGGGAAGAACAGCGGCCAAAACAGGCGCTCAACGCTTATCTCGGGTCTCGGATGCAAAAGGGATGCTGTGTAAGACAAAAGACCGGGTCAGGGACCTAACTCGTGTGAACAAGTGCAAGGTCAAGTGCGACGATCATTTTTTATTCGTTGAGCAGAGCCTGATCCAGCTCATGACCCCAACCCCCATCCACTCCCAGAAACAATGCCTTGGCCAGTCCCTGTCGTTCATGAATTTGCACAGGTCCCCACCAACCCCTCCGAAGCTGACTTCCATGGGCCATACAATAAACTCCTTTACACCGTGTTTCCGGCGGACGGTCCCTTTACAGTTGTTCCTGTGTACATCCCTGGTTCACGCGAGTTAGCCCCCCCTCTCGTCTTCTTCGAGGTTACAGTTGAGCGTAAACCTGTCCTCATACTGCTGCTAAAATCACCCAGTGATCTTCGTTACCGTTCCCAGCGTAAAGCCGCTGATAAAGAAATTCGGGTTCGCATCGAGGATTTAATCGGTTCGTCGGGATCAACTCTGACCGAGGAACTGTGCTGGTGGGGAACTGACATCCCTTCTGGCAGAATATTGGCACATCCCCACGCTATATGCTGTTAGTGCAATGGGAACCAGACTGTGCTTCTTCTCCAAACAGCCTGGCCAGCCTATCGTACCAATCACTCCCCTTAGTTCTATCGACGAGACCAAAACAGTTCCAGAGGAGCATTGGAGCTATGACATTCTGGAAGAAGAGGGGGAGCAGAAATTCCGAGCAATGGTTGAAGAGACACAGCAGGCTTATGCTGCTCTATGAAGGTTGTGCACATGTATCAGCTATTTTGTAAGTGTTCTGAAATTGTGCAGTTTGTACGCTCGGGTACAATTGCGACAAGTGTATTGTCTAATCCAAATAGGAAATGTGTCAATGAAAGCAAGCGCTTGACACAGAAGGAAAGCCCGCTGCCAGCCTACTTGATTTGGTCGTCCTTGTCATTTCTGTTTTATTTTTTACCGACTCTGACTCCACGGTTCGAATCAAAAGAGATGCATGTATGGTGCGGCAACAGTGACAGATGTCATTAATCAACCATGGACGCTGAATTTCAACTTGAAATTCATGACTTCCTCGTATCACTTGCAAGTCTCCGTACCATTCCCCCTTGACTCCCAGTGGCGACAGACACAGCTTTCGCCGTCACTTGTAATATATCGTCCTCGTTGAGGATTTTTCCCCTGACCCCTAAATGTCTATTCGGTTCCGGAATGGAAATGAGCTTGTGGTATGACAAATTGAGGGGGGAGCAGACGCCACTCACCTTTTCTTCTTCTTCACGGTCCCTGGCTCACCAACATCAGGGACGTACTGCCCACTGGGTCCAAGCTCCGTTCGAGCTTCAATGCGTGCCTTTGGGTTTTGAATGATGAGTGGGCCATCCATCGAGTCATCAGGCGTCAAAAAGGCCGGAACTTTGACTTCCTTCGTCGATGCTCTCCGACGTCCCTGAGAGGTGCTCGCCACACGATTCTTCTGTGTATGACCCCCAGGAGTTCTCCTGGTATCGTCTACATCAAATGAGCTATCTTGTTGCTTGTCAAGGGCTGTGCTACGGGCTGAAGACTCAGACGTTGCCGAAGCCCCTGAGCGGCGTCGGCTTCCTTTCTTTAAGGACCGGGCCCTGGACGTGGGAACGTAATCATCATCGCTGGCGTTGGAGTCGATATCAGCGCAGCCATCGGTGTCAGCGGCCTCGTCCTCCGACACGAGAGGAGACGGATTTGGGAATTCGTTAGGATGCGTTGGCGTCTTGGACTTTGCTTTATGTTCCCGTTTCGACCCTTTCTGACTCTTATTGATTCTGGCGGGCGGCGTTGGGCTCGGTGTACTTTCTTGTGTGTCCATAAGCTAAACAACAACAAAGTGCTCATAGATATACAATATTGATAAATAAATTATAGATGGCTGCTCACAAGACTAACTTCAACGTCACGGATATCTTCCTCTTCCGTTTCCTCGTCAGATCCCTGTTCACCAAATACACCTGTTCGCGATAACATCTCAATCTTTCGGTCCATCTTGAGCTCGTTCTCCTCGATCTGATGATGCATCAAACGGTTACTGGCTCAGTGTTCGAATGAGCGGCGAGCAACATACCTCGCGACGAAGACGTGCAGCATACTTGCGCTCCATTAGCTGCATACGTTCTTCCATCTCCTGCATGACGCTCTCCCTCGTCTCCGCCTCAACCATCGCACATCGAATCTCAGCCTCGTACCACTATATCGAGTACCTTTAGAATACACCAAACGGTAGGATTGTGATAAGGATCACGAACTCTTTCACGCATTTCCTCTAATTGTCGAAGCAAGATGCTGACGAGAGAGTCAGGGTCATCCTCTTCATCATCCTCTTCCTCTTCCTCGGGATCTTTCTCTTCTGCTTCTGTTGGTGCAGCACATGAAATGTATGAACACCATACTCGAGTGTCAAACAGAGCAACGAACGCACCTTCGACGACTTCAATTACCCGTTCGACAGGGGCACCTCCCCCGGGAGCTGCAAGCGAAACTCGGACTTGTCGACTCAGTCTCTGTGGTATCAGCGACTCCTTCCGCGCGGCCGTGGAGTCGGCAGCAACGGGTATCTGAGTTGGCCTCAGAGTCGTCAGAGGCAACTTCGTCGTGTTTGTCGACACCTCGCTAGCAAGGGCTGCGAACTCCATCACTGTCGCATTCTCGTGATACCCAGTGTCAAACGGATTGACGTTCACAATCATCACCTTGAGCTGCGTCAGGAGAAGAAAAACTCAAAGTAGATGTCACTCAACCGCTCTCCCACGTCCTTCAAAGAATTCTTGGAAGAGTTCGGTGAGCTTGGAGGTTCGATACATTGGGACTTCCAGTCGAACAGGTCTGGTCGAACCTGTTTTGATCAACAGTCAAACACCCTCACGTCATGCAATGCGGTATCCACGTACCCGAAGCTTTTGCCTTGACCAGCTTCATCTGATTACATCGCAGAGTTCTCATGCACTGGCCGAGTGCCATAAGCGAGTTGTTGATTTTATTCGCCTCATCCATTCGGTCGCCTACACATGGGGCAATCAATTACCATCGCTCATTATAGACAGAACAAGAGACAGAACAAACCTGTAGCCTGCGTATTTTTATTCCGCTCAGACCCGGCGAGGTCAACAATCGACATCTTCGCAGTCTCCACGACCCCACTCCGCTACTCGCAGAAAGAAACTCTACATTCAATCATACCAACCCAGCAAGGAGCGAAGCTTCGTCTACTCACATCATCTTTTTTCCGCCTTTCAATTCTAATTCCCAGAATTGCATGACTCCTCGAGCTTTCCCGATTCGCTATTGTCCCAAACACCCTCCGCCCCAGCATCCCCATCCGCACAGCTTCCTTCGCCTCATTGGCACTTCTCACACGGACTTCTTTCAGTGACGCAATATACTTTGTTCCATTGACAGGATTGATCCTTACACTGAGGGCTTGACGGCTAACGGTCGTAGTTCCAGTGTTCTGTACAGCGAGGGTGGTGCTGGAGCTTGAGGCGCCAGAGCGCAAGGAGGAAGAGTTGGAGCCAAGCCAGGAAAAGGGGTTGAGACTGGAGAGGGTTGGGATGAGAGTTGAGCCTTTTTTGGATGTGTTCAGAGATGGAGCGGAAGAGGAATGAGAAATATCTGGAGCGCTACTTGATTGTGGGATGGAGGAAGCCTGGCTTAGAAGGTCGAATATTTGGTTGTTATAAATCTCGGCGTAAGATATGTAGACCGCATAGGCACAGCCATCATCGATGGGCAGTACTTTTATCGAGGAAAATTATGAGTCAAGTTGTACACTCTGATTTTGAATCGCTTACCAGTTTCGTCCCGCTCTTTCCATAATCCTTGGTCCTCCTCTGTTAACAAGGACTGCACGAGCGTGGCGTCATGCTGTGAAGTACCCGCCTCGCCCATACCATCCTCTTCCTGGCCGATAGGTAAGATGGCAGTTTGCTAATGTGGAGATAAAAAATACCTGGTTTGCTCCAATACTATTAAATACCACATCAATTGCACGAGGGAGGATGCCAGGATTCTCGCCATCATGTTTTCCTTGAATCGTATATGTCTTCCCTGAGTTGGTCACGCCGTACGCGAAAACAAGGCCATTCTCCATGTTTAGCAAGTCCTTGACCAATGGGAGGGTGGTCTTCTGAAAGAAGTCACTCTGAGTTGTCGAGGGCTCAAATACTCTAGTAAATGAGAACGTCTGAGTACGACTGCTTGAAGCCGGTGCTCTAAGCCTCGATATCGATGACTTGAGGAAGGATACTGATGAAGAGGAGGGTGGTGAAAGCTGCACTTTGGCCTTGGAGATTAACTTGAGGTAAGGTGTTCTTGCTGGATCCTCATCGAGATCTGGTCGCACTCGGAGGTAGGCCTGAGATATTAATTAATCAGAAGCACAGACAGATAATGGGCGTAGATACACCCACCTTCATGGCTTCTCTTTCTTCTTGGATCCCTGTCGACACTGGCCGTAGTGCTTTCCTTGTGGCGGCGAGAACAGCAGCCGGACTCTGCTCAGTAGTCTCAGCTAGATCATTATCCTTTTCTTTAGTTTTCTTCGAATTTATTCCCCTTATTCCCAGAGGCTTCAGCCTCTTCAGACCAGGATTTTGTGCCTCTGACGCGGTAAGAGTGGCGGATGTTCGAGAGGTACCCAAGGCTGCCGCGGCTGCTCTAGTGGTACGAGTTGTCGATGGGACATCAGGGGCCGTTACTGATGTTTTCAGACGTGATGATGCCCGCGTTGCAGGTGTTGACACTGTATTGACCGATTTCGGCGGCATCGAACACGAAGTCTAAAAACGCGTTTACGGTTTCGAGTTATTTGGTACTGTTTACGGCGAGGGCTAGACACAGTGTTCCCACGGTGGATGCCCCAAGTAAATGTAATACCCAAAACCTTTTGACCTCCGCTCCAATACTTCAATGTGGAACAGCCTGAGAGTGACGTCTCTCACCACAACCCGTGCTATAAAACACTTCAAGAAACCCCAAACCACCATTTCTAACTTATCCTCACACATAGACATACACTATCTCCAATCAATTTTCCACGATAATGGCTGCAATTGCAAGGGTTTATCAAGCCCGGTTTGAAACTCACCCTGCTGTCACACTCGCCATAACGAATGGAACATTGGCAGCATTTTCGGACGTTGTCGCCCAGACATGTCAAATACTGGTGTGTCGTTGACCAGTACTTTGATCCGAATCTCCCCTCAACAACCAGTTATCTTATCTCATTAGCTCACAACGCCCCAATCACATCCACCCCGCTCTCTGGAGTTCGATCCTCCTCCACCCAGGAGCCTGGATTTTTCTCGCACTGCGCGCTTTGCAGTGTTCGGAATTGGAATGGGCCCTCTCCTGGGTCGATGGAACTTGTTTTTGGAGAACAACTTCCCTCTAAGATGCGTAGGCGGCAAAGTCAGCTTGAAAGCTCTTGGAAAGCGTGTCCTAACGGACCAGGCCCTGATGTGAGTGCCTCGAGTTCGTTTCCGAATTTCTCCTGATTTTCCGTTGTCACCTCAGGGCGCCAACGGGAGTAAGTAACCGAAGATTCAAATTTCCATTCGCTGGTGTCTCAGTAGTACTCTTCCGGGTCCATCATAGCTCGCCATTTTCATCGGTTCTATGGGTTTCATGGAAGGTCGCAATGCGGCCGGAGTACAGAAGAAGTTCGGTAAGTTGTTGCAATGCCGCAATTTGGTTTTGAATTGACTTTTCACAGCCGACATGTACAAGCCTGCCATTATCGCAAATTGGCAAGTATGGCCTCTCGCTCAGGTATATTCTATCAGTCCGCTTGTCTTGCAGCGCTTTACCTGATGTTGAACGCCCAGTTGGTGAATTTTCGATATATGCCTTTGCCATACCGCGTACCGTTCCAAGCAACTTGCGGAGTGTTTTGGACATTATACCTCTCACTACTCAATGCCAGGTCCGTGGCCTTTCATGTGCATTATGTTGCTTCCACGCACTCACCTTTATTACCTCAGGGAAGATATTAAGCAGGATGGACCGTATCGAGCGAAGAAACTTACTCTATGATCTGACCCATTACATCCCACCTCCGGAGATGCATTCAGTTCTGCAAACGCTTGACACACACACGAAGCATTCCAGACCATTGATTCTTGGACTCTTTCTTACAATGACTCCTCAACGACCTCAGTAATTTATCGTATTGTCAGCATAAATGCATTGTGTCCCATTCAATAAACTTTTACAGCAACTGCTCAATTCGTTGTTGAATGCCGGTATGGGAACATTAATGGAGTCCCGTTGTGACATCATTCCACCTCCGAGACAAGCGCCCAAAATGAATTCAAAATCAAATTCGGATCCTCTTGTCTTGCGTCATGCCGAGCATCACGGACTCGACGCTCGACAGCTTCATCACGACTTCACGGACACCCCCCAGGCCATTGGCAACGTCAACAAACATAATCGATCGTGACTCTACCTTCATCGCATATATCTTTCGCGCGACATCGCGTACCCAAGCAGCATCCTGTGTTTCCCATGTACGGCACGTCATGCACGCCGATCGGCCCGCTACACACGAGATGAGTGCGTGGAGATGTGTGATGCTTAAACACGGAAAGACTGGGCTAGATGGGCCGGATGATTTTGAAGAAGTGATGGGGCATGATGACGATGGGGAGACGTACGGTTCCTCAAGAGTGTTGGGTGTAATGGAAAAAGAAGGGGTTCTTGACGCCGTCGTCGTGTGTTCGCGATGGTTCGTATTGCATATTGTAGTAATTTTCGTATCCAGTCTCTAATCCCTACGTGCAAACCGGTGTCTCCAATCATCATGATGTAGGTATGGAGGGACGATGCTCGGACCAGTTCGTTTCGCCCATATCGAGAAATGCGTACTGGAGGTTTGCCATACCTTCAAGACCATCGAGCAAATAGAAGACTGCATCATTGAACTCAAATCATACGACGAGACGCTTGCCAAACTCCGGGCTGAGATCGCAACTTTGCAAGGAACGTCTCCACCACAACTAACGCCGACAGATTATAAAACTGCTTTGTTGACCCCTCCTGATTCGGCGAAAGCTCAGCGACTGCTAAACGCGCGGAGAAGTGCTGTGGATGGACTTCAGAGGACCCTGGAATTGAAGAAGCAGGCGGCGAATACTTCCCCAGGTCCTTGAGCGTGGTGCATGGGTCCAATCACGAAAAATCAGCTGTATATCCTCCTCAAGACCCAATATACCATACAATGATTTCCTGGACAAGATTCCAAATGTCTATCGCCGTATTACAAATGTACAATATTCAATTGTCTTGAAGGCAAATTATTCAGAGTTGATTATCGTTGAAGGACGGCCTCATTGAGAGCAAGTCGGGCGTACCAACATGGCGCTGTTAGTACCTGTAATATTCAGCAAACTAATTCGTGAGTTTCACCGCCGAGTGGTCGCATGACAAGGACATCACCCTCGGTAAAAACCCTGCTGCAATGAAGGCTGCCCAAATCCGCTTCCATAACCATATTGTTGTGGCTGCTGCCACCCTATCTGCTGTAGTTGCTGTTGCTGCTGATATAAACTCCCAAACCCGCCCGGTTGATTCCCACCACCGGTAACATAACCTGTGGGCTGCGCCAAGATAGAAGACTGTTGTGGTTGTGGGTTGGTATACGCCACTGTTACCCCAGCGCTTGTTTGAAGCTCTTCTGGCCATTCCGGAAGAGATCGGAGCCCCGCGTTGAGTGCTTGGCGCACTCGGGATCGCGAAGCCGTATCGGAAGAGTGACGGTAGCCAGACTGAACCTCTTCCAGTTGGAGTTTGGCAGCTAAGACGAGATCGATGTTGGAATCGGCTTCACGAAGGAGCTGCATGTATGTAAAGGGACATTAGTATGAGCGAATGAAGATGTGATGAGGTAATTGTGCCTACATCCTGAGCCCGAGTGACATCCTGTTGTGTCCATTGCTGATTATAACCCGCTGTTGCGCGATTCACGAGATCCTTCCTCGCTTCCCATGCACCTTTGAGCTTCTCGATAGAGCTCATGAATTGTTTCCAGGCACTTGGATCCCATCTCTCCAGTTCATTTTTGTGGTCTCGGACAAAAGACCGTGGATGATCAGAATGAAATGACGTCCCTCCAAATGATTCGGAAGTCGGAGAGCTGGGGGGTTTGGGAGCCGGAGCAGGTAGAGCTTGAGGAAGTAGTGCAAGATTCGCATAAGGATCAAAGGCTGCGATGCTCTGATATGTAGGATCGGAAGCATGCGACAGAGCACCACTCCGGTTGTCTGGGATTTGAGAGGGGAATTGCTGTCCAAACGTATTAAAATATTGGGGTTCCGAGCCCAACGCGTACGAGGGCTGTTGACCATTGCCGAAATATTGCCCAGTCTGGGGAAAACCGGTTTGTTGGGGATATACTGGCTGCTGTTGCAGAGGATTATACCCTCCACCAAAGGACCCTTGACCCCATTGTCCCCCTCCAAAGTTCGGGTCCCCGGCGCCTAATTGGCCAGTGGGAATGGACGGGTCATCGATCTTCGGGAACCGATTGGATGCATGGCTTGGATCCGACTGAAGTGCGAATGGATTATTGGTTAGCTGGGAGCCAGTCGGACCAGCAAAAGGGTTGTTCGACATCCTTCTCGTACGACGAATGAGCTCAATTCGCAGCGCAGTTTAGAGACGCCAAGTTTGTGGGATACCCAATGGCTGTACAAATTTTAAATGTGTCGTGAGGTCACATGCTAGCCTCATATTCATATTTGACATCACAGCCCATAAAAGGACGCTCCAAGAAACGAATGATGATCTAAGGCTTTCCTTCAACCTCTACAAACGATCAGTTTCTTAAACGTTCAGTATGCCTCGATTTCTCAACAGCCTCGCTGAAAAGGTGAATACTGAATAGCCATCGCCGATTTAACGTCGATCTCTGTTCGATGAGGGCACTTACTTGGCGTTGATCTAGGCACAAAATGCGTTGAATACGACCCCGCTTGGACAGCAAATTTCGACGCACATTCCAGGCCAACAGCAGCCCGCTCAGCCGGCTAGCACCACCACTCAGCCCCCTGGAAATGCCCCCACTAGTCCACCACCCACACTTGATCATACTTCTCCCCAACCCATCGGACTTACTGGCATACTGATGCAACACGGGCTTGGCAGTATTCAAAACTCTCTGAAGTCGCTTCAAACTCAGTACAGGCAATTCGTTCTCTTACCCTGGCTTATGCCGAACTCGTAAACCTGACTTTGCTTTTGAATCAATAGTTCGGCGCAAGACAAACAGATCCAGTTGCTCATACTTGGACAGAAGAACTTGGTGTATGACTACGATAATGTTGGCCGTAACGGAAAGACTTTTAGCAAGGAGCTGTACATTTGGGGTCAGGAGCAGACTGATGAAATCAAAGATGGTCAAGCCGTTATATCATATAGTACAGTCAAGAAATTAACGAACACTTTGTTTTCAGTGTCCGATCGATTTGCATACCTGCACTACGTCCATGGAAACCTCAACTGTGATCTAGCCGCGAAGATCGATGCTTCGCGCGCACCATTCAAGGATGCGAGGAATACCGAGGCAGCTCTAGGGCCCAAGCGTTCCCAACTGGCCGGGATCGATTCACAGATCTCCCGTCTTCGTTCCGAGGTTGAGGCTGGGAGGGCCACTCCAAACGCACAGGCAAAACTTGCACAGCTCGAACAGCAACGAGCGGCATTCATCAATGAGACTGATTCGGAGAATAAGAACATTAGCCGACAGTGGCTCGATGCTCTCAAGCAGAGCGAGAAAGTCCAGTGGCAAGCATTTCGCGAGTACGCCGAAAAGCTTATCCTTCTCAGTCAAGCTGGGGAGGCGCTCTTGGATTCTTTGCCTACAGAACCTGCATCACTCTCGAATACGTACACGGGAGCCGGAAGAACGGCGGAGATCAGGCACCAAGCCCAGCAACTCCTGGAGAACTTCAAGCCGGGAAACTATCCTTCGCCATTCGCACCTGCCGAAAAACCAGGTGCACCACGCATTGACAGCTTTGGAATAACCCATCAGCAGGAGCTTTCACGTACTCCTACCTTGGTCGACAAGGGAAGGCAGGATCAAGCAGCCCTTGTGGCGCTTGCTGCCGAACAGCGTTCCCAACTTCCTCCTAATGAGGGAATCAGTCCATCGGCTCCCAACGATGCACCTGCCTCGCCCCTCGCCTCAGTCCAAACCCAATCGCCTCCAAGCGTGGCTGATCTTGGGGCGCCCCAGGTCGACAGCGCGGCACTCGCTCCTGCCGCCACGCGCCCGACAGTCGCCGAGATTGGTGGCCCCCGCTCCGGCGAGAGACAAGGAACGACAGATTCGCTGAGTAAGGATGCGTCCTCTCCCGCTCCCGTAGGTCGGGCAACTGAGACAGCAGAGGAGGAGAAGAAGAGACTTGAGCGCGAGGAAAGGGAGAGACTTCTGAGGTTCGGTCTCGAAGGTGACGGATCTTCCGCCGGGACTTCGGCCGCACCAGGCCCGGCTGAAGGGGTTCAGAAGCCTGAAAGTGCCGAAGAGGAAAAGAAGCGACTTGAGAGGGAGGAAAGAGAGAGGATTTTGAAAGCCGATCGAAGTGGTCATCCTCCCGATGATGAGAACCGTGGCGCTCCACCAGCCTATGAGGGTTAGGTCTGCGTGCCGAATGCATACTTGACATCGGTTTTTTCTTGTAACTGTATGGCTCTCGAATGTTTCATCCTTAGTGATGCGTGTCTGCACTTGTGATTGTACATAGTTTGGCGGTCGTGCTTAGTATACCAAAAACGAATTGATTTTAGGATTCACGTTATAACCCATGGGACTTCAAACAGTACAAAGTCGAAATACTCTTGCTCCATAAGGGCCTGGTACTCGCCCGTATTCAGATCTTCGGCCTTTCCAGACGACTTCTTATCTATACCTCCTTTACGCCTTAAATATGCGAAGTGTGATGTAAGGGTATTGAGAATTTTTTTCGTTGATTTCGGGTCAGGCTGCAGCGAAGAACGATGGTTAAACTCAGCTGTGGGGGAATGGCGGCTTATACTGGCCTTTATTATTAGTCCTGTATAATTTGCAGGTAAACCAAAGCGGAGGACACTCTCAACGAATAGGCAGATAACTTTCAGATGGACTAATACTTGGTACGCTTCTGAAAAGTTTGTCCGTGATACGCGTAGCATCTCCAACTATGTTTTTTTTTTTTTTTTTTTTTTTTTAAAAGTCAGTGGTGTGGTGATAGATAGGTATGTCGTCCTAACGCACCCAGAGTTCCTTCTCTGCTTGTTCAGCTGCTCTTAACTCGGAATTATGCTTTTCTACCAAGTTTTCTTCATACACGAAGTCTCGCACAACAAATCTAAAAGTCGAATATTGATGAGAGGCACAAGGCGAAAGATTGTAAACTCTTTTACGACACACCTGTTTTCTCGACATTTCTGGGAAAACTGGTCCTTCGATTTCTTGAAGATGGTGACGCTGAAGAGGGAAAAATCATCGTCTTGGGATATTTTCCTGCAGCGAAAAGTTTTAAGCAGGACGCGGTTTGAATGATGATGATAAGCTTCGTACTGTGAGGATCTCGGGACGACCATTGGGGCCAAACGTTCGTATTTGGAGTTCCATTCGTTTACGTTGTTTCTGATGATGTATAAAGGCACCAGTGGTCTGTCAATTGGAGAAAAGCCTACTTTGGAACTGCAACGAAGACACTCTCTAGGTATTCCGATTCGACTATCTGCTCCTTCGTGACGATCCCGATCAGCGAACGAGTCGACAGGTTCCCGCTGAAGGCAGATGATAATGAGAATCGCGGGGGGTTGCATAGGAGAAAAAAGATGCATTTACGCAGTCTTTCGTTGTAATTGTGTGAGGGATCCTTTCGCGAGATTATAGTTGTTTAGCCTATTCTTGGTCACATTGTCAATGGACGTAATTTCCTTGAGGAAGGAATATGAGGATTCGGCGATGACAGAACTCAATAGCCGACGCATGCCTTTACTAGCGTGTCGACCAAATCGCGCAAACCTCGCTGAACGCCATATTTACCAGAATTCCATCTCCATCCTTTGAGGAGATAGTCATCGACGCTCCTTTCGTCAACCAAAACATGTTCCGCGAGCCGCTGAGGGTTATTGTTGAGCAAATTCCGTAATGTGTCGACTAGTTTGGCTGTGATGGACGTGAAGGCAGTATCATGCTTCGGCAACTCCTCAGATAGTGACACAAGAAGCTCGAGCGTCCCGGTCTAGCCAGTCACTATGATTAGGCATTCGTGTGCAAGAAGAGCCCACTACCTCACTAACGCACTTTCAGGGATGGTACCGAAAGCTCGGAAATATTGGAAGGTGATAGGGCTTTCGATTGGCTCAACTTTCCACTAATTTCCTGCAACAATCCTTCCGCATCGCCGTCATTTGGGACGGACACGAGCCATGTGCTGAGATCGGAGGGCATTAAGGCAAGAGTCAGGAGGGACAAGGAGGATAAGTCCAGATTCAGAACAGTCACGCGGTCACATTGCCTGTTTTCTTTTTGGATTACTGCCACGAAAAATCTCGCGTCTCAACTTGGGCTTCTAAATGCTTTTGGAGCATTTTTAACGCAGTAAGATGTCCCTGTGGATCTAAGGTGCAGGCAGCCAGACCACAACGACGCGGGAAGTTACGCAGGAAGGATAGAAAATCAACATCATATGCATACTCATTTGTTTCGGGTGACCTATCTATCTGGCGTCCGGCATTTCTTATGATCCAGTTATTCCCCGTCGTTGTACACCCACTAGGGGCCAATACACAGGTGTCCGCTACGCAAAACGTTTTAATCTGGTCAACAAATTCATGTGGGTTGATAGCTCAATATCGCTTTCCGGGATGCGTGCAACGCGTTCTCAATGCTAGCATCATACCCACCTGGGCATATCTCGCCCGCAAGCCTGTGCCCCAAACTTCCCACTCCTTCGGTTCCGGAAGGGAAATGCTGGTTATGCCCAAAGTCCAGAGCAGGATTTAGGGTAGGACTCGGACGAATCCCGGCTTGAAATGCCCCCTTTACGGCATTGTGTCTAACGCACCAAACTCTTTTCCTCCGTGGCAGGAAGAGTCCCGTTAGTTTTAACCTCAAAAATTTGCTCCAATGGAAGGTTTGGTCTCCCAGGAATATGAGAGATACAGACATTCGCCACAAATCGGGACAGAAGATACATCCAGGGCGAAATAAGGATAAGGGTGGCCCGCCAAGACACAGGTGGATGGCAAGGCCTCGATTACGTAGTATATTCGTAGCAAAAACCGCAGCTCTGTGTCCTTCATGCTTATGAGCAGAAACAGTACCCAAGTCGAATTGGAAGTGTACGACATGAGATGGTCGTCGATAGGGTTTAGTCAAATGTAGGACCGTCTGTATGGGGAACTTGACCTTCTGAACGCGTCCGGCCAATCGAGCCTCTCATTGAATGGCGGTATCAAATACCCTGCACTTTTGATGACATCATATGCTACACCAAGTCCAGCTATACAATGATTTCGTCAACCTGTTGCGGCTTGAGGGACCAAAAACGTCATTTGGAGCACCTACGGGTAGAATTGAATGCGGATCCCAGTTGGTCGTGCCACTGAAGCATGTATCAGCATACCAACAACCTAGTTACATTCGGAGGCGATCACAGATGCCGTAGAGTGCTCTGCAGTACCGAGTGTTGAAGTACAAGCCCTGCTGTGTAGCCGCGTCGGGCTTTGTGACATCATTACGGGCACCTTTATCCTACTGCCATGCATGTGCAGCACAGCCGTCACGGCCAGAGCCCTGGCTTTTACAATATTCTGATTGCACGATTACGCGATGCACAGAAGCGGGTTGTACATCCAGTTTATGCTTTGGCTGGAAGCAGCCTGAGGACATCTTCCACCTCTTTACTAGTCGAACTAAGAGGCTTCAGCAATGTCGGTTGAACCGTCGTATACTCCCTACGGCTATGCCCCTACTTTGTGGATCTGCACCCTGTTCTTGGCACTCTTCTCGTTGAGTACAAGTACGCGCCACACCAGATCATGTGGGTCCAGTGCACATGCAGCTAACTGTGCGCTATACTCCCAGTAATCCACTTGGGTCAAGCCCTCTGGTGCCGACGCTGGTACTTGATTCTTACTCTTGTCCTCGGTGGTATCGGTGAAATTATAGGGTTTGTAAGGCCCGGATTCTACATTCATTGGTGAATGCTCACAATCGACCCTTGGCGCTAGATGGTCAGGCCGACTGTGGTCTGCCAAGAATGTTTCTTCATACACTGCCTTCCTCGTACAAATCTCGACGAGGATTTTCAGGTACACAAATATCCTTCCCTCGGCAATCACAGCATATCATTGCTTTTGTAGCCTGACATTTTTAAGTGCTGAAAATTTCATCGTCTTGGGGGAAATAGTCAATCGCTTGGGGCCTCAATACAGTCTGATATCGGCAAGAGCTTGTGCGCCCGTACCACTCTGGATGCGCAAGCTGCCTGTTCTGATTGATATGCTGGCCTAGATGCTTTTATTTTCCTGTCCGTGGACTTAGTAGCGCTTGTGGTCCAGGCAAGCATTCCCTTGATCCTCTTTTTTAGCCTGGCCGTGTTAATACGCATCACAGGGGTTGGGGGGCGGGATTGCGTCGGCCACAGCGGACTTCATCAACGGTGACCCAAATATTGGAGGACACATCATGCTGTTTGATGCTTTCCATTGGTCGTGATCGCAGTCACTCACCATTCTGTCCACCACAGCCGGTATAATCATCCAACTTGTGGCAATTTCAGTCTGCCTCCTTGTTATTTTTGGGGCGGTCAGGAAGGTCGACTCCGAGCTCCATGCCATCTGAGAAGAACCCCGAAGCGATGTCCGGCAGAGAGTATGCCTCCTTGACTCCCAGGATAGCGTCCATGTTGTGCGGGCTCGGTATAAATTCGGTGTTACTGCTCATCCGGGCTGTTTACCGTACGATTGAGCTGAGTAACGGTTGGGACGGTAGTATCATCCAAACAGAAGTGCGTATTCGCTTGTTTTGACCCAAACCTTATCACTGAGTCGTGTTCTTCCTAGGCTTATTTCAGTAAGCTCAACAGGTGGTTGTCCGAGAGAAGATGTTGACATTAATCATTCTGATTACAGATGCTTTCGACGATGTTCCTTCTCAACTTCTTGCACCCCGGCATTCTCCTCGATGAAAAAAAAATCAGGCATCTCGTGTTGTTTCATACGGAAAATAGATGACTTGACACCTAGCCCACTGATTCAGCTTACGCTCAAACCCGAGGTGATAGATTCACTCGCTGCCTAGGATCCCAAGTGTAGAAATATATGGTTAGAATAGCCCATCAGCAACTACAAACCAACGGCCATCAAGTTCAGATGCAAAGTGGTGAGCTTTAGGCCAAGGACTTGTTCGAGACCTACACATAACGGGCCGGCATAGTGACAATTGAAGACGGCGCTAAATATGGGCACCTGGTGTTAAAGAAAAAGAAAAAGACCTTGAGGTTCACAGAATGCATGCGCTTGGAATGTAGAATCAAGCGTGTCGACATAGCTCATGAACCAAGACGGACAATATTCGAGTGACGAGCCTGGTAATATAGTTCGAGAGTTGACGCGTCCTCGGCCCAATGACGCAGGTCCATCCGACGACGTCACGAAGAACCACACAGCATGCATTCACAAGCATTCCAGATCCCGCCGATATCACCCCGAGCTCCAATCGTTGCAATTGGTGTGGGTTATAAGAATATCCGTTGTTTGATATATTACCGCAAGGTTCAACATGGCGATACCTATCATGCACCGTCGTTTTGTGAAGGATTACTCAACCGCCCCCACCATGCTCAATTTAGGTGATGAGTTTTTTTTTAATATTATAGAGGTCAATCTTTCGACAGGTTCTCCTTACCGCATCTGGGCCATTGGTCGAGCTGTCATTGCATGCATTCACCGGTTCAGGAAACTGACTACCTCGGACTCTGTGGTCGACTGTTCGTTGCCCGTCCTGAGCGCTTCAGGTTGTTTGTCAGAGCGGTCTCAGAATAAATACACGGAAATGAAGTGGATTTGACACTCCGAGTAAAGTCCCAATCATATTTCCCTGGTAAGTCGTCACTTACAGTTATGGATGGAGTACTGCTGATGATTATGATAACGAGGGAGAGAGAACATTTCACAATGTGGTAGACGAGATCAAGCAGGCCTGTGCAGCTCTCTGCAGCGATTGCGTGTCGCTCGCGAGGCGAATCCGGGGTGGCATGGTAGAACTTGGTAACAACGCGATGCGTAGTAGAAGGCTTGATGCCAGCATCGGCTGCTTCGGCCCAAGAGTCTTCGGAGCCGAAAAGAAGGCTGGGACAGACGTATCAGATGGGCCGAGCGCCTATTGCACTGTGCTGCTGCAGCACAATTGGCTCAAAACCAAAGTGCCGCTAGCACTGCCTCCGAAACACCCCAGCTACATAGCTTCTCCTACTATTGGCCATTTCGAATCGACGTTCTAGTTTCCAAAAACTGAATAATTCACTCACTCTGTGGTCAAGGCTTTCTCCGTGTCACAGCGCTGCTATACATAAACGTCGAGCGTGGCAGAGCTGAGTGGGCAGATTAACCCTCACTCTTCTACCCCTGTCTTGACTGTCCGTCACATTTGCGCTATGTCTCAAAAAAGGAAATTATCATCTGCCTCAGAACATCACCTCGCAAAACGACTGACGCCTGGGCCATATCCGCAACCACCGCGCACCTCGACTTCCTCGTTTCAAGTTCGTCCGGATTACCTCCAGACGCCCCAAAGCCTCGTCAATATACCTCACGATTGGCACGGTGGATCAGCAGGATCTCATCCTGAGGTCCCGGGAATGGCGCCCACCTTTGGAGGATCTTCAGATGTTTTCCGAAATGGGATATTTCCCAATGAACTTTCCGCCGCGCCCTACCCATCTTGCGATCATCCACAGTTGCATGCCCCGGCTTTGGAATGCGCATACACTACGCCCGATCGTATTGGTGAATCAAGCGAATCTCTCGCCAACTGGTCTTTCCAGACTACGCTCACCCAGCCGTTCCCCTCTCCCCTGGAACTGTCATTATACGACCCTTTTTCCCTTCACGGGAATAGCAAGGGGGCGAGTGGAGACGTGGAATCGTCTGTACCTCCGTTTTTAGAGCCAACACCATCATCGCCGGCCGGGATACCTCTTCAAAATCATAGGACTATGCTTCCGGGGCCATCTTTCAGTTATCCTCAGGCTTCATCGCTTCAAGTGGCCCAGGTCAGTTCGTGGGCTCTCCAGACCCGCAGCACTATTTGCCATAACCAGTATGGTGAATCGGTGGGACCTTATCGTGGGTCTGAATTGGTTGCGCCCACGCCGCAATCCCCTAGTAGCTCTCAGAATCTGCCATCTCAGAAATGCACGGGTACGCGGTCCTGGTTGGACCCACGTTCTGGTCTAAATTGTGTCAGCCAATCAAGTACATCTCTACTTGAACTCCCCGTTCCGCCTATACCCACTCAGATATTCCTTCCTAATGTGGAACTACCGCAACCGTCCCTTCCAGGGACCACCGAAGATCCTTGTATAACACACACCATTTCAGCCTTCGATGATAATAGTGCGGGAGCCTACACACAGCTGGATGGCATGGGCGTACCCCTTCCCTTCCTATCAGAGCCAATGCCACCATCGTCAACCGCGGCGTCCTCCAGTGATCCGCAGTTGTGCCCCTCGCTCTCACCACTCCAACCCCCCCAGATCCATCCTACTGGCTTGCAGACTAATCAGGCATATGCCACTATGTCTCATGGCGGGTACGATGGAATGGTAGTATCTTCCTTCGGACCTGGAACCGCGCCCCCTCTGGAATCCGGATCTTCCAGTACCTTTCGATATCTGAAGGGTTTGATTCCATTCCACAAACGCGTGACTGCGCTGCCTAGGATATCCATCAGCGATGTGCAGCGCCACACCGCACTTCAAGTCTCCGGGGCCAATCCTACCAGTTCGCAGACACCCCAGACCCACGGCGATGTTTGCCATGATTGGCATGCCAAATCAGCGGAATCTTATCTTGGCCCTCCCCGGGTTGCGCCCAAGTCGCATCCTTCTGATAGTTCTCGGAATTTGCATTCGCAGCAACGTATGGGTGCGCCACCCTTATGGGGGCCACATTCTGATCCCAATTACACCAACCCATCACGAACGTCTCTTTCCGAACGTTCTATTTCCACTGCGCCCACCCAGTCATCCCCCTGCAATTCGGAACTATCACTATACCCCCCTTCCTTGTCAGGGACCGATCGAGACCCTCGTGCAACACCCACCATTTGGGCCTGCCAAGACAATACTGCAAGAGCCCAGGAGCAGCTACAACATGCAGGTATAGACCTGCATATGCCCCCCTTATCGGAGCCGATGCTCTCGTCATCAGCTGGCCCAGCTGTTGATGGAAAGAATACCACCATCAACACCACCAAGCTCATTCTTCAGATCGCAACTCCCGCTCTCAAACTTTCCCCCATTCCACTTCTCAGCAACATACCGGATTTGCTTCTGATATTGCTTCAAGTTTACGAGGTTTGGAGACGGTTTTTGCGACCGATAATGAGATATCACTCACATTTGCTTTACTAATCGTGTAGAACGTTAGCGGTAATAGCAAAGCTCTCAAAGGGTTGGGCGATGAAATACAAAATGCTTATACTACCATGCTGCGGCCGCTCCAGCTCTGGACGGAGCAAATCCCTCCTGAAGTAATTTTTCTAGTCAAGGAATTTCACTCGTATGTGCACGCCATTCTACAATGATACATTAAGGTCTCAAATACTGTTGGCAGGGCCTTAGAAGGCCAGGTAATGCGGATTAGGTCGCTTGAGAGTCAATCGCGTTTGAAGAAGGTGTTCTCAGCTGGCTCTTTGACGCAAAGCATAAATGATGTGAAGAGGTGTATTAGCGATGCTCTCTCCCGTTTTTTCGTTCGTTAGATCCATATTTGTCCTGCTAAACCTTGTCTGAACTGAAGCGTCCACCGTAGACGGTAGCAACGACGTTGAACCTCCTCCACACAATCCAAGTATCGGTTGATTGTTTGTTCTATTTGCCTGATTCCAGATTCCTTATCTCAGTGATATTTTCAGATGAACTCTCAAAGCTTCCGAAAGCTGATGCGGAATATTACAACGTAAACAGCAAGTCGGGATGCCTCCAAAGTACGCGTGACGAAATTCGCCGATCACTACTCAATCACTTGGCGGAACCCAAAAACCGATTTGTCTGGCTCCGCGGCTCCCCTGGGACAGGGAAAACTGCAATATCTATCAGCGTTGCGACTACTCTTGACAAACAGGGCGTCTTGGCAGCATCTTTTTTCTGGGATAAAACCAGCCAGGAACTGGACTCGATTCAATTGAACGTTTCCCCTCTACCCTTGCTCTTCAACTTGCAGCGTTCGACAACGAGTACAAGAGTATCCTCATCAGGCAACTTCGAGATCCGAAATCTTGGAAAAGTCTTCCGGGTTCTGTTCCGGAGAAGCAGATGGTAGCCTGGATTGTCAACCCCTTGCGTGAGCTCCAGGATCTATGGTCCTTGAGGAAGAACCGCACCGCCATCGTCTTGGATGGACTTGACGAATGTGGGGACCCGGGGTCACTCCGAACCCTGATGAATCTTGTACTTCTGCTTGATGGGCTCCCCCGCAACATTTCCGTACTAGTTAGTTGTCGTCCCGAACAGCAAGTTGTTTCGGCTTGGACCCAAGCTGAAGCTCAGGATTGGAGGTTTGAGATCCCATGCGAAGATGTGGATAAGATTACGAAGGATGAGACTTTGGGCACAATTCGCCGTATGGTGGTTGAAGGACTTTGCTGTAGCATCAAAGACTCACCTTGGAAACCATCAGAGGAAGATCTCGAGGTGTTCATTTCAGGTTGCCGTGGATTACTTGTTATGGCTTCAATCCGAGTACGGGAAGTCTGTGCTCACACTCAAATGGGATCTTCCCTCAAACAGGAGTTTGACTACTTCCGCAATCTTAGTGAAGTGCCAGATGATCTCAACTCGGAATACCTGCGAATACTCCGGCGCGCCTATATGTCCCAATCCTCACGTATTCGTCCCCACGTGGTCAACAACTATCACCAAGTAGTTGGGACGATCGTCGCGGCGCAAGCTGATGGTATACTTAAGACAACGTCTATGTCGATCATTCTAGGAATTACTGAGAATGACATCGACGCGACATTGAAACCTATCAGTTCAATAGTCAATATTCCCTCAGACAACACAGAGCCGGTCACATTCTACCATGCAACTGCGAAGGAATTTATTACAGGTGAACCCATTGGCGAGGAAATCGACAGAGTCTTCTTTATCAGTGACGTGGAGGGATATTTCCTCGGGCTACGACTCCTTCGACTTGTGAATGGTACACTTGACCGGAATGAGTTCAATATCCCCACTGAACTTCCCTTAGGGGATAAAAAGAAGTGGACTAATTGGCACAAGAAGCAACTGGAATCTGTCGATTATGCATTTGAATGGTTGGCCGAGCACTTAGACCCTTCACTCCTCTTTTCGCGAGAGTCCAATGAATTGCAGAGAGAATTCAATCAGTTTCTCACAAAGCATTTACTCTCGTTCACTCATGTGGGTAGTTTCAGCGGACCCAGCTGGGATCGATTCAAAGTAAGCCTAAATCAATTGTATTCAAGGACTTAAAATTATGACATCACCCATACTCTACAGGGACACGAATTGATGCAACTCTGGGAGGCTCGATGGGATTTGCGATGGGGAGCCGATGGCATCAATGAATACAATGATTACGATGTGTATCGATCCTGCCTCCCATTCACTCCGTCATCATCACCCATCTACAAGTTGTACGGTCACCTTACAGATCCCATTCGAGTCTTCAGCATCGATGGCGAGTTTGGTGGTCACGTCATCCCATTAAGTCAGGATGCACTTAATGCTTTAAAAATCACGGAGGTGGAGCTGAATGAGCTTCCAAAGAAGGTTGATAGAGGGGATCCTGATGTTGTGATCGATTACGAAGCCGAGTTCTGTGACCATAATGTCCGCAATGGCATTGTGACCTGTGCGACACTCTCCCCAGATGGCCATTTCATTGCCCTTGGTTTTGGAAGTGGTGCTATTGAGATTGCCAACATCGACCATCAGTGCACGATCTCCCTGTTCCAATGCAATCCCCCTAGCCATCTAGTTTGGATCAAATTCTGCAATGGCAACCACTGGATTGCGACAGAGGACAGCGGTGGAAATATCGTTATCTTTGGCGATGATATCCAACTACTGAGACTCGGTACCTTGCCCAGCGACCTTTATCCTCCTGTAGCTGCTGTTTCCGACAGTGGCTCTATGGTCCTACGGGCCCCAGGGGAGTTGCATGAAGGCCGCAACGACATCGCACTCTTATATATTTCTTGTGACCCCTCCATTCAACTTCTCGCATTGCCTCCCTTGGAATTCCCTGAGATTCCGACCATTCCCAGTCAGTATAGGCTTGGATTCTCACCTGGAGGCCGATATGTTGCTGTTCACTTCTCCCATAACGTTTTCGTCTGGTCAACTGATTCATGCAAGTTGATCACTCGATATCGCTTCCCAGATTCAGTGGGGTGGGTTCTCAGTGCTGGCATTGTACCCATCGGTTCATATGTCACTCCTGAGACTGTACACCCTAAACTCGCCACTTCTTCATTCCCAGAAAAAACCCTTGGTGTGCAAAACACGGATGAATCCTGGATGGAGTGCCCCTTTTATGGTTTCGAGACCGCACGCTTGTCTGACATGATTGGGCGCCTTTCCTCCATCGTAGGAAGAGTTCCGATCGTTGATGACTTTCAAATTTGGTTCAATGGAGGAGTTGAACTTCACCTCCCAGATGAGTACTGGTCGACTAACCATAGTAATGGGGCCTGGTACGGCGATCGAGCGCTGAATGGCGATTCTCTTTACTTCCCTCCGGCCAGCAAGGATGGTACTCGGTTTATTGTCCAAGGCAAGATGACAGCCCCAATCATCATTGACATCAGCCAGGTCGTTTAGTGCGGGTTCTATCATTCCTCTCTTCACTCGATGACATAGTGGTGCATTCAAATTTTATCTGGGAAGGTCCGGATAATTGCGTCGTTTTAATAGGCAGTAGTCCCCTATTATGTTTAATTTGCTGCTATACTCCGAATGAAATGGATACAAGGATTGTGCTGAAACATCTCCAGTTCATTATGGGGTTGCGGTAAAAGCTCACCGGCCCTCCGAGTGGCACTTTCGCGGGGTTGCCTCCATCGTCGATACTGATATCTGATCATGGGGGGGGGTGATATGAGCAAATGCCCCTATGCTGGGGAAGAAGGGACGAAGAAGGTATCCAGGAAAGCCCTATTGAGTCATAGTTGATAATCCGGACGCAAGTGGCGTTGCCATCCCCTCCCTGCGGGGGATATCAAGAACCCGCGGTCCCCTTCCTTGGCAGAGGATATTGAGACCCCTTCAGCGTTCCTGCGGCCCACGATAACAGTACAATAGTCCAGGACGATAAGACATTCAACACAACTTCATAGGTGTTAATTGTCTTGAACCACGGAGTGCTAGCCATTCAATTTACGCTAGCGGTATGTCGCTCAGTTCCGTAGTACACGAACTAGAATGTTATCTGGCGATATGTCGCTTATAGTATACATGAGTCGGACACAACGTATGTATTAAGACAAGGGATTGAATAAATTATTTCACCCCAGTTCCGTAGTATGTGATCAACCGAGGAAAGACAAAAGATAATTTTCTCGCTTTACAAGCGAGGCGCTTTGAATAGCGCACAAACATACTAGTAGTAAGTTTACCAAGAAAGGTAACACGACGCCGCAGGCTCAACTCCGTGAGTCGGGTCACAGCGTACGTCGATATCCTGCACTGGCCTGAGACGCACTTCACTCAACAAGGCACGCGGTTCGTTCATACAACCCCTCTCCATGATTTCCGACCTCTACTCATCGTATGCCATCTGAATTATCATGTCCTGACAGCCGCGCGCCGCATGGTCGAAGCCTGCATTGAAGGCCCATGCTAAACTGGCTACGTACGGACTAAACAGGGAAATGCTTGCCCGTGATGCCGCTCCGTGCCATTAATTCAAGTTGAAATGGCCATTTTTTAGTTACTTGCCGGATCCGGTCTCCATACTGCGGCTTGTGTAAATTATCCGCACCTCGTCTCTGCAGAGAGTGAATGGTTCCCAGCGCTAATCCTAGATACTCGTCACCTTTGCATTGCAACATACTTGCTCTCGGCAGTCAGTTGCAGCGCTTTGACTCTACACATGTGGTGATCGTGGGCTACCTTGCTGAACGCCACCCGAAGCCCTCCGACCTGACGCCCAGCTCCCGCTACACAAGACCATGAGGCCCCAATCGCATCCTCCCACACGGAACGAGGATGGTTTGAGGTCTTCATAGCAGTGCGCATACGCGTCCCTGAACGAACGTTAGGCATTTCAATGTGTTTCCTGCATCACCATCGGTGCATCGTGATCTGGATATGTCGTCTGTGAATAGTCCTGTCCATTAGAACAGGACCTCTGATCGGCGCACTGAGAGAAACAAAGGACTCCAGAAGTATTGTGGAAGGTGTTTCCACCGCTGAACCTTTCATCCGCACCTTGAGAACACCCATTCCAGGGTCCGAAGAAAAGCTTGTAAATGACCCACAAGTTTCAGTATGGCTAGACGGGCGAATGCCACAATGTCACAATCAAGTTCATGTTACGGAGGGTGACCACACCGGACGATCCATGAATATTAATATCAATATCAGGGTAAATTTCATGACGATCGATGCTTATCACATGCAGTCAACAGGGCATCACAAACGCTGCCGCGCTGCTGTTAGTTTTCCGTCCCCATCTGAGATCCCATATGAACAAAGCGGGTGCTGAGAGCGATGATAAAGCCCTGTACTTATAGAATACTTCAGATGGCATATCCTTGATCCTAGGCACGAGGAGTGGGCGATAGAGATGTAAAAACTTATAGCCGATAGCAAGTACCGATGACCCACTCCGAAGTCTGAAGTGGAGTTGATGTAACGAACTAGTGACGACATGCGAAACGGAAGAAAAAAACACTACGTAATTGTGCCGGCCTGAAGATCTTGTTTCAACTAGTGCATTCCGTCTTGCCAGAGGCAAGGCCTCAGTCCCATACATCAGATAGTTCGCAGCTGGTGCCTCACCATAGGGAATGGTAGTAGGAGGCCGTCCGTCACGTCGTGTTCCAGAAGTTTTGGAGAGGCTTACGTAAGGTCTTGTCACGCTTGTCTGCAGTGGCATCAATGCGTTGTGCCTTGTTAATCCTGCTAGCCAACTTCGCGTTCTTTAGGTTATTCCTCAGCAATACTCGGCGTCTAGAGGGTTCTGACTTTCTCGCCCCAGGCACTCATTTGCTATTGATGTACAAGGCAGTATAGCTTGGAATACACACTGCCCAGGTTGGTGTTGCATTGAGTCCCCCGGCTTGACTCAGTGAATTCTTCTTGGAACCCTCTGTCTATGTCCCCAGATATAGCTTCTCTCCATCCTCAATCAAAGATTGTTCTAGATGGAGGGCGCTACTCGGCTAGAGTACGGAAAGATGGCGGATTTACCTTGTGGGTCGACTGCATCCTCGCCTCATAAATGGCATGTTTCCCCTTATACCGTTGATCCCACAAGTTTTAACGTCGAACCTGGTGCCTATCTCCTTGAAGTGCTGGCTAGGGATCATGTCTTCGATCAGGTGATTATCTTTGATGTCCGGTGACCTCCAATGTTAACGCACCTGCAGCTGCGGGTTGACATCCTTGACGAGTCGTTATTGTGGCAAGATTTGGGGACCACACCTGCAGAGGAAAATGTGCCTGCGTCTCTAAGCGTCCAAGTACGACCGTTTCTCCCTGGGACCCCATTTTCTCCCTCCCCGCCACATCATCCTCTGGCGTACCCAATCCTGCTGATCCCGCTCCAACGCAAAGAATATTTCGCGCTTCCGGATGGCTTTGATGTGATGTCAATGCTGAACAATCCGATGGCAATGATGATGATTTTCGCTTGCATTACACTGTTCATTCTTCCAAAGGCCATGGTGAGTTTCTGGGAAAACACACACTTATCAGGATGTTGTTTTACGAGAATTCGACCTGCGATATATATATTACCAGCAAAACATGGATCCCGAAATGCTGAAGGAGATGTCTGAGAGACACGGTCGTATCATGAAAATACAAAGCGACTTACACCAGGGAGACTTCAGCGGGTAAGCCATATATCATCCCACTTTTAGTTCCCTGGCCCCTAATATTCGGAGATAGGATCGCTTCTGGTGTTATGGAGGATGCTAATAGAGGGGCGGCAAAGACGGACGAGCGCCGCCCGCCTCCCAAGAAAGCAAACCCAGCACCCGTATCCTCTTCGACTGCCTCCAGCAAGAAGCAAACATCGAAACGGAGGCGATGAGGATACACTTGTTTTTCTGCTTGTCGGTAACCTCGTTGTTGTTGCATCCACACAAGGGAAGGGTTGCACGTTTTGGCTGCTAATTCTATTATCCCGCCTTGTTCAACACCGAGAACTTTTACAAGCGGTGTCCTTTGGTACCGGGGTGTGTCTTTCATTGTGGTGACACGATAAGCGAATCCTTACGTTTGCCTACCGTCCTTGCACTCACAAGTCGAAATCGTCCGACGCAGGCCGGCTATGAATAGGGCCACACCGGTGCATCTACATCCCACTGCCATGCAATCCAATAAACCCAGCAACCTTTGATATCACAACGGCCCCGCCCCGCAAGTCCGACCCGACCTCTTTGAAACCTTACAATATAACATGCCGCGCACCAGAGTCAACACAGACGAAAGGGTGGACACCGCTAAACCTGCTGGTCCACCAACCTGTTGTGGCTTAACACGCTAGTCAATCAGGACGCCTGGAGGTGGGACAGAATGAGTATCGCCTCTGGGTCAGTTGTTGAGACGCCAGGCTTCTGGACCTTTGAGACGTGGCAATTAGTCAGGTGCAGACCCCTTCAAACTCTGAAACCCATCGACAATCGCAGCAACCAATGGCTTACAGACCAGCATGTCAAGCGTCAAGCTTGGGCGTTGACTAATGACCTGTTCGAGATGATAGCTTACTGATCAATGAGTCAGAATTGCGGCAAGCAATGAGCGTGAGATCCAGGATATATGCAAAGATGACGCAAAAGAGGTCACCAGATGCCAAGGCAAAGGAACTGATCGTGACTTCAGGTTTCACCAGATGCACGCCTTGGAATGTGAGTAGTAGACTCAAAGTTGAACGTGTCGACATGCCAGTTGGCTGTCGGCCAGGACGCGGATCCCATGGCGATGTTACTGTTGGACTGTAATCTGCAATATAGTTCGAGAATTGACGCGTCCTCGGCCCAGGACGTTCCGGTGACGCAGGTAACTTTAAGCACCATCCGACGAATCTTGTTGACGTCACGAAGAACCGCACAATCCGTAGTTGATTTCACAAGCATTCCAGATCCCGCCGATATCACCCAAACCCGCAATAATGGTGTGGGCTATAAGAAATTTATATCCTTTCTTTGTTGTTTGATATCTTACAACATGGCGATATCTAGCTGGTCTCAGGATAAATATCACACGGAAACGAAGATTCGACATGAGAATAATGCTCGTCCTCCGATCTAGTAAAGTCCATGCAAACCAGACTTCCCTTTAGGAGGACAGATGACGATCGATAAAGATGGGTACCAGGTACTAAAGTGAAGTTTCACTGGATGCATACGCTTGGAATGCAGAGTCAAGTGCGTCGATATGCCGGTTTGCGCTAAGCTGACTACTAATACTATGACGATGTTACTGTAATATTCAAATCCGTATATTCGAGAATTGACGCGCCCTCGGCCGAGGACCTTCTGACATACGCTTTCGCGTCATCGATGCTGCGAGGGACAGACAAAGTCCATGTGGCATGGGCGAAATTGAAGGGTGTGAAGTGATGCGAAGAAGTAGGAACGTCGGGTTTAGTGTGCATGTGAGGTTGAGGCGAGGGCAGCGGATTGAAGAAATAACACCCCTGGTGTGAGCTTGGGGGGTGTCAGTGTGTGGCTTCTGAGTGGCTTCTGTATCAGGATGCTCCTGAGAGTGCCGAATAAAAACACTGAAGAAGTAAGAAAGAATCCGATCCGAGTACGCCCGGCCTCCTTCATCCGGGTAGGACCCAGATCATGCTCTGTTGACAGTCGCATATTCGGCCACGATGTCAGCACTCATCACTCAAGCTGTCCGCTCTTGGTCAGTGTGACTTTACGCATAGCCACCAAATATGCATGAGCTCGGAAGATCGGAAGACTGTGGGCCCACTGGTTGGTTCAGTATGCCTGAAGATTTATGGTGGGAGGGCTGGACCTCCGTGGGGTGCGTGTTCCGTACAGCTCTTGCCTTTTTGGTTCGTAATTTGTGGTGCGAGCTGATGTATTCGGCCGGTGCTGGTCTCTAGTGTGCGAAAGTTTCCCACTGGCTCGAGGTGCCTGGTATGATGGATAAGCGAACTAGATGCTTGAATCGGCCGCCTCACAATTTCGGAGCGGAAAAGGCATTAGACGGACGTCGCCGAGCGCCTATCCCACTGCACTGCCGAGCACGACCTACACAAAGCAAACTGCTGCCAGAAAGCACCGCTTCGCGCAGCTGATTAGCTAGCTTCCTTATTACAACTAAGTAGCGAATGAAATTCTGTTTTCCAAAAAAGGGACAAGAATGCTTCCAAGTTCCCACTGAGCTTGCATTGTGGTCAAGGGGTGTCTCCATCACATAGCCGTTTCAGCATATATCCGTCGAGTGGGGCAGCGCTGAGTCGGCAGGTCGATCTTCACTCTTCTACCCATCTTGACTGTGCTTCACGTTTGCGCGATGTCTCAGAAAAGGAAATCGACGTCTGCCCCAGACAATCGCATAGCAAAGCGCCCCACCCCTGAGCCATCTTATGATGATCCGCAGCCATTGCAAGCCTCCACCTCCTCATTTCAAGTTTCCCAGAACTACTTTACCAATTCTCAGACTCAAAGCCATGTCAATATCCCTCACGATCGGTACGATCGATCAGCACCACCTCCGGAACCCTCTTGGATCATGCCCACTTCGGGACCCTCTGGTAATTCTCGAAATTATATTCAGCGCCGGTTGCCTGTTCCAAAACGCACGACTGCATCGACTGCACCATCTTTGAGTGATCCGTGGCTGCACACTTTGGTTTCTTCACCTCAAGTTCCCCAGGTTTACGGTTCGCAGGCCCGCCAGGCCTACGGCAGTATTCGCCACGATCAAGAGGAAGAACCAACGGGGTCTTATCATGGGCTTTCCCGAGTTGCGCCCACACTGCATTCTTCTGGTGATCCACGGGATTCACATTCTCAACAAGATATTGGGGGGAAATTTCCCCATCTTAATAGTATCTATCGATCACGCACGCCCCTTTCCGAACGGTCTGTTTCGACTATTTCCGCTCAGTCATTCCATGATGATTTGGCGATGTCACCCTTTCCTCCCTCCTCGCCGGGAAGTATCGAGACACCCCGTGTAACACCCAGTATCTATACCCTACAAGACAACAATACAAGATTCCGACCACAACTGGAACATCGAGGCACGGAATTTGTTTCGCCTCCCTTATCAGAGCCGTTGTTACCGTCGCCGACCGGTCCCACTGGCAGTAGAAAGAAATCGGTCTTTGGCGCCACGAGGATCCTTCTTCAGACCGCAGCCTCCGCTCTAAAGATGAGCCCCGTTCCGGCGCTTCTCGCCAACATCCCGGACTTACTTCTCACATTGCTCCAAGTTTTCGAGGTTGGGATGCAGTTTTCTCAATGGCGGTATATCGCTCATATTTGCTCCACCTGTGCAGACCGTTGATGGCAATAGGGAAACTCTCAGTGAACTGAACGAGGAGGTACAAAAAGCCTACAACACCATTTTGCGGCCACTCCAGCTGTGGACTGGCCAAATATCTCCAGAAGTCGATTCACTAATCAAGGAGTTTCACCGGTACGTATGTTCATCTCTCGTGCTGATCATCTGGACTTAAACCCCGTTGATAGGGTCTTAGAAGACCAAAATGGACAGATCAGGTCACTGAAGAGTCAAGGCCTTGTAAAGAGAATAGTCTCGGGGACTCAGATCTCGCGGAGCATAAGCGACGTGAAGGCATGTATAAACAAGGCAGTCAGCTCCTTCTCGGTTTGTTTGTTTTGTATTCCGAGTGTTTGATTTTTCGCTGACTGAAAGTGCACATCATAGACGGAGGCAACAACTTTGGCCCTTCTTCACACGATTCAAATAGCTATACAATGTACGTGCCCATGGCTTTTCCTGAGTCCCTCCACTGATGGTAATTTCAGCTGACCTTGCGAGGCTTGCGCGCGTCCCGGCTGAGTATACTTATGTGAAGACCAAGTTCGAATGTCTTCCGACCACGCGTATCAGGATGCAAAGGTCCATACTCAAACATCTCGGGAAGGCTAGAACCCGATTCGTCTGGTTAAGGGGCTCGCCTGGCACTGGGAAGACGGCAATCTCTATGAGTATTGCTTCCACCCTTCATAAGCAGCATAGCCTAGCAGCCTCCTTTTTTTGGGATAAGAACCAAAAGGGAACGGGCCTCGATTCTTTGGAGCGGTTTCCTTCTACCCTTGCACGGCAGCTCGCGCACTGGAATGAGGACTTCAAGGTGTTGCTCGTCAAACGCCTTCGGAATCCAGATTTGGAGTTGGTTCAGAGCCTTCCCTTGGAGACGCAAATGAAGGTTTTGATCACTGAACCAATGAATGATCTCATGGGGATATGGGCTTCGAGAGAGGGACGCATTGTGATCGTCTTGGATGGGTTAGACGAATGTGGCGATCCAGGGGCACTTCAGTCCCTAATGAAGCTCGTGCTTCTACTTGATGAGCTCCCTCCAATATTTTCTGTACTAGTCAGTTGTCGTCCTGAGCAGGAAGTCGTTTCGGCTTGGAACCGAGCCAAAGCCCGGGATGGGAGCCTTGAGATCCCATGCGAAGATGTGGATAAGACCGAAGAGGATGAGACACTATACACGGTCCGTTGTATGGTCGATGAAGGACTCCGTGATTGTATCAGGGAGTCGGCATGGGAACCATCAGAGGAAGACCTCGAGGTTTTCACTTCAGGCTGCCGTGGATTACCCGTCATGGCTTCGATCCGAGTAAGGGAGGTCTGTGCTCGCACTCAAATGGGATCTTCCCTCAGACAGGAGTTTGACTACTTTCGTGACCTTACTGAAGTACCGAATGATCTCAACTCGGAATACCTGCGCATACTCCAGCGGGGCTATGTGTCCCATTTCTCACGTGTTCGTCCCTGCGTGGCCAATAACTATCGCCAAGTAGTCGGGATGATCATCGCGGCGCAATCTGATTATATACTTAAGATCGAGTCTATGTCGATTCTCTTAGGAATTACTGAGAATGACATCGACGCGACGTTGAAACCTATCAGCTCAATAGTCAAACTTCCCTCAGACAACACAGAGCCGGTCACATTCTACCATGCAACCGCGAAGGAATTTATCACGGGTGAACCCATTGGCGAGGAAAGCGACAGAGTCTTCTTTATCAGTGATGTGGAGGGATATTTCCTCGGACTACGACTCCTTCGACTTGTGAATGGTACACTTGACCGGAATGAGTTCAATATCCCCACTGAACTTCCCTTAGGGGATAAAAAGAAGTGGACTAATTGGCACAAGAAGCAACTGGAATCTGTCGATTATGCATTTGAATGGTTGGCCGAGCACTTAGACCCTTCACTCCTCTTTTCGCGAGAGTCCAATGAATTGCAGAGAGAATTCAATCAGTTTCTCACAAAGCATTTACTCTCGTTCACTCATGTGGGTAGTTTCAGCGGACCCAGCTGGGATCGATTCAAAGTAAGCCTAAATCAATTGTATTCAAGGACTTAAAATTATGACATCACCCATACTCTACAGGGACACGAATTGATGCAACTCTGGGAGGCTCGATGGGATTTGCGATGGGGAGCCGATGGCATCGATGAATACAATGATTACGATGTGTATCGATCCTGCCTCCCATTCACTCCGTCATCATCACCCATCTACAAGTTGTACGGTCACCTTACAGATCCCATTCGAGTCTTCAGCATCGATGGCGAGTTTGGTGGTCACGTCATCCCATTAAGTCAGGATGCACTTAATGCTTTAAAAATCACGGAGGTGGAGCTGAATGAGCTTCCAAAGAAGGTTGATAGAGGGGATCCTGATGTTGTGATCGATTACGAAGCCGAGTTCTGTGACCATAATGTCCATAACGGCATTGTGACCTGTGCGACACTCTCCCCAGATGGCCATTTCATTGCCCTTGGTTTTGGAAGTGGTGCTATTGAGATTGCCAACATCGACCATCAGTGCACGATCTCCCAGTTCCAATGCAATCCCCCTAGCCATCTGGTTTGGATCAAATTCTGCAATGGCAACCACTGGATTGCAACAGAGGACAGCGGTGGAAATATTGTTATCTTTGGCGATGATATCCAACCACTGAGACTCGGTACCTTGCCTAGCGACCTTTGTCCCCCTGTAGCTGCCGTTTCCGACAGTGGGTCCATGGTCCTACGGGCCCCAGGGGAGTTGCATGAAGGGTGCAATGACATCACACTCTTATATATTTCTTGTGACCCCTCCATTCAGCTTCTTGCATGGCCTCCCTTGGAATTCCCTGAGACCCCGACTCCCAGTCTTGGATTCTCACCTGGAGGCCGATATGTTGCTGTTCACTTCTCCCATAACATTTTCGTCTGGTCAACTGATTCATGCAAGTTGATCACTCGATATCGCTTCCCAGATTCTGTGAGGTGGGTTCTCAGTGCTGGCGTTGTACCCACCAGTTCATATGTCACTCCTGAGCTTGTACATCCTAAACTCGCCACTTCTTCAATTTCGGAGAAAAACCCTGGTTTTGTACAAAATTCCCAGAGAGATTTAGGGCAAAACACGGATGAATCCTGGATGGAGAGCCCCTTTTATGGTTTCGAGGCCGCATCCTTGTCTGAAATCATTGAACACCTTTCCTCCACCGTAGGAAGAGTTCCGATCATTGATAAATTTAACATTTGGTTCAATGGGGGAGATGAACTCGTCCTCCCACAAGAGTATCGGCCGGCTTACTATAGTAATGGGGCCTGGTACGGCGATCGGGTGCTGAATAGCGATTATCCTTACTTCCCTCCAGCCAGCAAGGATGGTACTCGGTTTATTGTCCAAGGCAAGATGACAGCCCCAATCATCATTGACATCAGCCAGGTCGTTTAGCGCGGCTTCTATCATTCCTCTCTTTACTCGATGGCATAGTGGTGCATTCAAATTTTACCTGGGAAGGTCCGGATAATTACGTCGTTTTAATAGGCAGTAGTCCCCCAATATTCAATATTATGTTTAATTTGCTGCTACATATACTCCGAATGAAATGGATAGAAGGATTGGGATGAAATATCTCCAGTTCATTATGGGGTTGCGGTAAAAGCACACCGGCCCTCCGAGTGGTACTTTCGCGGGGTTGCCTCCATCATCGATACTGATATTTGATCATGGGGGGGTAATATGAGCAAATGCCCCTATGCTGGGGAAGAAGGGACGAAGAGGGTATCCAGGCAAGCTCTATTGAGTCATAGTTGATAATCCGGACGCAAGTGGCATTGCCATCCCCTCCCTGCGCGGGGGATATCAAAGAACCCGCGGTCCCCTTCCTTGGCAGAGGATATTGAGACCCCTTCAGCGTTCCTGCGACCCACGATAACAGTACAATGGTCCAGCACGTTAGGAATGACGCCCATTCAACGCACTTGCCGAACTTCGTAGGTGTTGTCTTGCAGAACCACGGAGTGCTGGCCAATTAGTTTACGATAGCGGTATGTCGCTCAGTTCCGTAGTACGCGAACTATGATGATGCAGGAAACACATCGAAACGCCTACTGCTCATTCAGGGACGCGTATGCGCCCTATTGTGGAGACGCTAAACCATCCCCGTTCCGTGTAGGTGAATGGGATTGAGACCTCATGGTCTTGTGTAGTGGGAGCTGGGCGTCAGGTTGGAGGGCTTCGGGTGGCGGTCAGCAAGGCGGCTCAAGATCACCACATGTGTAGAGGCAAAGCGCTGCAACTGACTGCCGAGAGCAAGTATGTTGCAATGCAAAGGTGACGAGTATCTAGGATTAGCGCTGGGGACCATTCACTCTCTGCAGAGACGAGGTGCGGATAATTCACACAAGCCCCAGTATGCGGCAAGTAACCAAAAAATGGCCATTTCAACTTGAATTGGCACAGAGCGGCATTACGGGCAAGCATTCCCTTGTTTAGTCCGTACGTAACCAGTACTTTTAGCACAGGGCCTTCAATGCAGTCTTCGACCATGCGGCGCGCGGCTGTCAGGACATGATAATTCAGATGGCACACGATGAGTAGAGGTCGGAAATGGAGAGGGGTTGTATGAAGGAACCGTGCGTCTCAGGCCAGTGCAGGAGATCGACGTACGCTGTGACCCGACTCACGGAGTTGAGCCTGCGGCGTCGTATTGCCTTTCTTGGTAACCTTACTACCATGCTTGTGCGCGCCTTGCTTATAAAGCGAGAAAATTATTCTTTATGCCTTTCTTCAGTTCACGTACTACGGAACTGGGGTGAAATAATTTGTTCGATCCCTTGTCTTGATACGTACGTACGTTGCGTCCGACTCATGTATACTATAAGCGACATATCGCCAGGTAACATTCTCGCTTGCATCGCGATCTCGATATGTCGTCTGTGAATAGTCATGTCCACTAGAACCGGTCCTCCAATCGGCGCACTGAGAAAAACCAAGGGCTCCAGAAGCATCATGGAAGGTGTTTCCATCGCTAAAACTTCCCCGTTGTGCTCCGCAAGGTAAAGATCATCCGCACCTTGAGAACACCCATTCCAGGGTCCGCAGAAAAGCTTGCAGGAGAAAGAAAATGACCCACAAGTCTCAGTATGGATAGGTGGGCGAATGCCACAATGTCACAATCAAGTTCATCACACCGAACGGTCCACGAATATTACGGTAAATTTCACGACGATGGTAATCATAGTCAACAGGGCATCAAATGCTGCCGTGTCGGCGTTCGTTTTCCATCCCCATCTGAGATTCCATATGAACAAAGCGGACGCTGAGGGTGAAGATAAAGCCTTGTACTTATAGAATACTTCAGATGGCATACTCTTAATCCTCGGCACGAGGAATGGGCGATAGAGATGTAAAACATTAGCCGATAGCAAGTATGAGGGGGCCCGATGACCCACTCCTGCGGTGTGAGAGGTCTGAAGTGGAGTTGATGTAATGAACTAGTGACGACATAAGAAAAATCACTACGTGATTGTGCGGGAAGAGTAAAGTGAGAATAATTCGGCTTGAAGATCCAACGAATGCATTTCGATATATTCAGTCTTGCCCGAGGCAAGGGCAGTCTCATACATTAGACAGTTCGCAGTTGATGCCTCACTATAGGGAATGGTAGTAGGAGGCCGTCCGTCACGTCGTGTTCTAGAATTTTTGCATGCTGAGGCTTACGTAAGGAGTTGTCACGCTTGCCTGCAGCGACATCAATGCGTTGTGCCTTGTTAATCCTGCTAGCCAACTTCGCGTTCTTTAGGTTATTCCTCAGCAATATTCGGCGTCTAGAGGGTTCTGACTTTCTCGCCCCAGGCACTCATTTGCTATTGATGTACAAGGCAGTATAGCTTGGAATACACACTGCCCAGGTTGGTGTTGCATTGAGTCCCTCGGCTTGACTCAGTGAATTCTTCTTGGAACCCTCTGTCTATGTCCCCAGATATAGCTTCTCTCCATCCTCAACCAAAGATTGTTCTAGATGGAGGGCGCTACTCAGCTAGAGTACGGAAAGATGGCGGATTTACCTTGTGGGTCGACTGCATCCTCGCCTCATAAATGGCATGTTTCCCCTTATACCGTTAATCCCACAAGTTTTAACGTCGAACCTGGTGCCTACCTCCTTGAAGTGCTGGCTAGGGATCATGTCTTCGATCAGGTGAATATCTTTGATGTCCGGTGACCTCCAATGTTAACGCACCTGCAAGCTGCGGGTTGACATCCTTGACGAGTCGTTATTGTCGCAAGATTTGGGGACCACACCTGCAGAGGAAAATGTGCCTGCGTCTCTAAGCGTCCAAGTACGACCGTTTCTCCCTGGGACCCCATTTTCTCCCTCCCCGCCACATCATCCTCTGGCATACCCAATCCTGCTGGTCCCGCTCCAACGCAAAGAATATTTCGCGCTTCCGGATGGCTTTGATGTGATGTCAATGCTGAACAATCCGATGGCAATGATGATGGTTTTCGCTTGCATTACACTGTTCATTCTTCCAAAGGCCATGGTGAGTTTCTGGGAAAACACACACTTATCAGGATGTTGTTTTACGAGAATTCGACCTGCGATATATATATTACCAGCAAAACATGGATCCCGAAATGCTGAAGGAGATGTCTGAGAGACACGGTCGTATCATGAAAATACAAAGCGACTTACACCAGGGAGACTTCAGCGGGTAAGCCATATATCATCCCACTTTTAGTTCCCTGGCCCCTAATATTCGGAGATAGGATCGCTTCTGGTGTTATGGAGGATGTTAATAGAGGGGCGGCAAAGACGGACGAGCGCTGCCCGCCTCCCAAGAAAGCAAACCCAGCACCCGTATCCTCTTCGACTTCCTCCAGCAAGAAGCAAACATCGAAACGGAGGCGATGAGGATACACTTGTTTTTCTGCTCGTCGGTAACCTCGTTGCATCCACACAAAGGATCCGCGTTTGGCTGCTAATTCTATTATCCTACTGAGGATTTTACAAACGCTGTCCTTTGGTACCCGGCCGTGTCTTTCATGTGGTCCAGCTGAAGTCTGCAAGTTCTTCGGATAACCTGCCTGTGGGGTTTTGAACGTGGTGTGTTTGTTTTCTGAGTAGCCTTGAATTGCATACAGGACACTGGCATGCTTGAATATCATATCCCCTGTGTTCATTTCCGACTGCTGTACTTTGGTCTCCCTTCTCCCTCATCGGTCACGCGAAGTCCCAAATTTTCGACATCCTGCTTGATGCTTATCACAAACAAAGCAAACCTTGTCATATTATCAGCTAACCTTACCGATGCTGGCACTGATATCGAGGCTGTATTGGGCCGCGAAATCGAGATCAGGACATTGGATTCGTTGCTGGTTGTGATCGTGGCACTCGACCCGCTACTAATTTAGCAGCATCGATTCGATGACGGCTATTACCAAGAATTCGCTTCTAGTGTCTGACATACACTGGTGAGAGTTGGAGCGTAAGACGATAAACCTAAGTTGATCAGAATCTTGATACCTAACTATGTTCCTGCATAACATCGAGCTGGGTTGTTCCAGACATTTGAATCCTGCAGCAATTAGCACTCAAGCCCGATCAACTCGACATCTTTTAACAACTCGTGCAACGTAGATTCTCTCACTTAGGGCGATTTTGCACAGTGGGGTCGCAATGGTGACCCCGCACACGTGTGACAGCGTATCTGCCCATCGATCATGGGCGAGAATCGTCTCCTATGACTGATTCTGCATATTCAAGTGCATCTGCCTTGCGTCTGCGGATGTGCTTGTGCTGGATTGCTAGGCTACCTACTCTTCGACAAGCAGGCAGGCTAGTGCATCACCAGCGAATACGGTCCAATATATAACTACACAGGGTTATGAGCCATTTTGCCTCCTGGAGAGACCTCCACGGACGTAAATATCTGGAACTAGCGTTTAAGTCTATGGGCAGAACTAATGCTCCGCACTCCCAATTAATAATCGCATTGAACCGATTTTTATGGCTGATATCGCCTTCGAATGTCCGTTCCTGGGCCGCGGACCCGGAATAAGGGTTGTCCTGCTTTCGATTGGACCGTTGGCCATGACTTCAGTATTTAACCCCTATGGCGAAATCGACAGAGGCACAAGACGTTGATTCTTCCTCCCATGTCCATTGAGGCACAGCCCGCGCAACTTACAGAGAACGGCGTCTCCTCCATCCATGAAGAGCATAGGACATCCTCGCCTTCCTCCTGTGACAGGATGATTGAACTGGACGTCGAGAAGCAACCGCCAGAGGATTTGCTCGCAGACCCTTATATGTTAAGGTCGGCCATGAAGTCTGCGTCTGAGTTGGAGGCCCTTCGGAAGAGGGGGAAGAATGGGAAAGGAATCGGAGCGTATCACTCGAGGCAGAATTCGGTGCGCCCTGTGACCGCAGTGATATTGCACTTTCCGTGCTGAGTGGACTATCCACAGCTCATCGACAATCTTCTGAAACCTATCGATGAGCATTCCGAGGATGCTAGGATGGCTGAAGAAGCCGCGCGTCTTCCCGTTAGTACATAAAAACCTTATCCGCGTTGTCGGCAAGATTGATCGTTGGGCAGATTCAGATCGCTGTTTATGGAAGTTTGTTTGTAAACGTTATGATTTGCGTGCTTCAAGGTGAGTCTGACGGTATCTGTTTTTTTTTTTGCGATGCTCATTTCGTCCCATTCCATGTGCCAGTGTATGCGGCTGCCACATCCTCATCGTTATCTCTGCTCGCGGCGGCAATTGAGTCGATTTTCGATGTCGGTTCAATCTTGGTGCTGAAGTACTTCCACTACAAGGCCTCCCGTCTTGACGTCGACAAGTGGCCCGTGGGAGGGAGTCGGCTAGAGACCATTGGAAACATTGCATATGGTATGTTGTTAGCGTCCTTTGAAATGGTGTTTCCTAATTCCGACACCTTTCAGGCGCATTGTAAGTTCAAAGTGAGATATTGAGTCCACAGGCGCTCATGCATGTACCGCACAGAATGGGTTGTGTTAGCTTGGTAGTCGCTGTGGAATCTATGCGCACCATTTTTTCCCATAGAGACGATCAGCTGAATGGATTTCACCAGCCATCCATTATTGCCGCGGGTGCTGGCTTGGGTGCGATTTTATAGCGTCAGTTGCCCGCTGTTCTCACTCTTCGGTCATTTATAGTTACCAAGCTATGCCTGCTACTCTACTGCTTCCCTCTTCGTAAGTCGTCTAGCCAAGTTGATGTCTTGTGGCAGGAACACCGCAACGATTCTTGCATTAGCGGCTTCGGTAAGTCGTACGTAATTCTCCCACCCCGGATGAGTGTATTGACAGGAGATAGGCCTACTTATGTCTGCTGGCGGCAGTAAACTGCGTTGGTGTAAGTGAAACACGCCTCCGCTGATTCTTCAGCTGAAGCAGTCTGCTAGGGCTTGATCCCGTTGGAGGCCTCATCGTGAGCTAAGCCGCTATCCGAGTCCTAAGGCTCACCGTCACCCACGTTTAGTCATGCGTCAACACCCGTTTAGATTTCCAGTTCTATTGTCCTCTCCTGGTGTAAGAGGGTTTCCACGGAGTTCGGACTCTTGGCAGGAAAATCTGCCTCGCACGAATTCATCCAATTGGTCACCTACAAGGTCGCCACCTTCTCAGACGAAATCGAGAAAATAGAGACGGTCAGAGTATATCACGTAAGCCCAGACCTTCATCCCCTGAGTTCTTGCTAATAAGTTATTCATGGATCTGGCGCCGGTGACATGTGAAACGTGAACCGAACATTCCTTCCCCTCGGTTTATGTCCACCTCAATAACTCCCTCATCTCCAACGTTGTCCAAACCACCCAACCCGACTTCGTGTTTGCGTTGGCAGAGTGGTCCTGGTTATTTCGTTGAAGTGGACATCGCTATGTCAAGAGAGACGCCTCTTTGGAAAGCGCATGATATATCGCAATTGCTTCAGGACAAACTGGAAGTCCTGCCTGAGGTGGAGAGAGCATTCGTGCATGTCGATCATGAGACCACACGCTCCATGGTCAGTCTCTGTCATCACTCAACTTTGATGCAGCAGCTAAATAACAATGATGCAGGCACACCACCGCAAGATCCCTCTGTGACAATTCAACGATGAACCGCCCCTCGCGACCTCGATAGTTTTGCATTTCAGGATCGATCCTGTGAGACTACAATCTCTCGACAGTCCACACTAGCTTAATACGCAGAATTATACGCAGTGCATTAGCTTCACTCTGCGCATCTCAAGAACCAATATACAGACTCTTCTCCATAAAAGTAGCATCATGCCACATAGAAGACCTAGACCAGTGAAAGATGGGGAATTCCGGAAAACTTCAGGTAGCTTGAACGTGTAGCTTCACAATGCCTCATGCTGAAAGTGCGCAGGGAAGAAAGTCCTCCCTTTTGGCGGTAGTCAGGCTTAAACAACCATCATGGAACAACTTTCGCGCTGCCGCTATGAGGTGTGAAACGATCGTGGGTATACTTACAGAGGCCAACAACCTATCAGGAGCAAGGGTCGTGAAGTTTAAGGACTTTAGTAGCTTGGGGTGCATCAAGAGCATTCCATACTCGCATGTGTACTTGGAACAAAGATGATGAGCATCTTCAGCATGCATTAATGAACAACCAGTGGCTAACGCAGCCGCGCGCGGGCCGCTTGGTCAATCTGAATAGAGCAATCTCCGAGGTCCTCGGTGCAAACATGTAGCAATACCCCGAGATAACTTTGCACGTATGTCTATCCAACTGCAAAACGTTCGGACCAAGGACATCCGGGCGCCTTCTATCAATGAAGAACACAGATTGCCATCCCCTGCCCCTTCAGACGATGGTGGCAGGGACCCCGAGAATCGGGGTTCAAAAGACCTTCCTGACGATCCTTACATGCTCAGATCCGCCGTGAAATCCAACTCTGAGATCCAGGAGCTGAGGAGGAGTAAAAATGGGAAGGTGGTGGGGGAATATCACGAGAAGCAAAACCTAGTACATTGTGCTCAATTTGCGCATCTTCCATATTGTGCTGAGAGCACATTTGCAGCTCATCAACAGCCTGCTGAAGCCGATGGAGGAGCACACGGAAGATGCCAAGGCCGCGGAGGAGGCGGCACGTTTCTCAGTTTGTGCCTGCAATACTCTATCTTTTCTTATTTTAAAAGGCCATCTGATACAGGTCAAAATCGCAGTGTATACGAGTTTGTTCGCTAATTTGGCTCTCTGCGTCATTCAATGTGAGTTTTTGTATATTTGGTGCGGAGTATTACCGATCCTTTGATCACTGCAGTATATGCTGCTGCTTCGTCCTTGTCGCTATCATTGCTCGCTACTGGCATCGACTCAGTATTCGACCTTGGATCAAATGTTTTATTGAATTACCTGCACAAGAAAGCCTCTCGTCTCGATGTCGCCAAGTGGCCCGTGGGGGAAGTCGACTCGAGACCATCGGGAATATTGTTTATGGTGCGTGGAGACTTTTCTATCTGCAGGAGTGCATTGAAATGTGTTGTACAGGTTCTTTGTGAGTCTGTAGGATTAGGGTAAGTCGGATTGACACTGACTCGTTATACAGGATGGGCTCTGTCAACTTGGTGGTGATCGTGGAGTCACTCCGCACCATCATTTCTCACAAGGACGGAGAAACAAACGCATTTCATCTGCCATCCATAATTGCTGTCACGGCTGCTCTAGGTGCGATCCATCGAACATCAATTACTTCGTGGATTCAGTTCTGGTATTCTTAGCTGTCAAGTTCTTACTATTTGTCTACTGCCTCCCTCTTCGTAAATCTTCCAGTCAGGTTCAAATCCTATGGGAGGATCATCGAAATGACGTATTCATAAACACATTTGGCGAGTCTCTGAAACTCCGATAGCGAAGCTAGTGCGATGACCCAACAACAGGTGTTCTGATGTCTTCTGGTGGAAGCAAGCTGCGATGGTGTAAGATCAATGTCTTGACCGATGCTATACTAGCTGACAGCAGTTGAATAGGGCTCGATCCCACCGGGGGTCTCCTGGTGAGTAGGGGTTCAGCCGGACCGTTTCTTTTGGCTGCACCCCCTGTAACTTATACCCCTTTTAGATTGCAGGCGGGGTCATCTTCTCCTGGTCGAGAACGATATGGAATGAATTTGAGCTTCTGGCTGGAAAATCTGCCTCTCACGGATTTATCCAACTGGTCACTTATAAGGCTGCCACCTTTTCGAGTGAGATTGAGAAAGTTGACACCGTTAGGGCATATCATGTAAGTCTGACCGTCGGGTTCAAGATCTTGGACGCGACGGATCGACCTCGTCCAAATATACCGCTCACAAATTGATTGCTCTTCGCCCAACCAATGATGTTGGCCTCTAACTTCGCATTGATTCTTGCTGACATCACTTTGTCGCCACCTGCGAATGGCAACTGCCTTGTTTCATTACGTCATTCTTGTCACAACTGACGTACGCCTGGATTGTCCATCATACTCCCGGATTTATCCACTCGACGCTGCAGAGTGGTCCCGGGTATGTGGTTGAGGTGGATATCGTGATGTCGGCAGAAACACCTCTCTGGAAGGCTCACGACATATCACAAGTGCTTCAAGACAAACTGGAGGTTCTTCCTGGTGTGGAAAGGGCATATGTACATGTCGATCATGAGACAACCCATGCACCCGTTAGTTATCCATTCGATGCCAGAATCTTCGCAGTCAGATAGTCTGATGAACTTCTATCAATTATAGGAGCATCGAAAACACCTCTGAAGATGGACTCTTGCACGCACGTTCCCTTGATACCACTCTTATGACCCATTCCCTCCATCTATCTACTGCGTATGAGAATAAAATTCTAGGAGTAATTGATACCTCAACTGGCACTCTCCCTAGCATGAGGGACTCGGAGTCAACTTTACAGTGACAGGAATGGTGTCACAATCTGCGGGACCCCGGATTGCAGTGTACGCCTGTACAATTAAAGCTACCGCTGCTGAGCTCGTGAGCGTCTAGAAGTTGGCATCTGCGCAAAATTGAAGGACATAATGTACGCCAGCTGTAGCACAAATATCCACACAGAAAAAATCTCAGGACTTGTGACCTGCACGGAAAAACTGAAGGCGTCACAGGTGGTTGCGATGTGCGGCTCGTGTGCATCATCACTGTCAAGGATTGAGCAAGCAAAACTGGTGGCTCCTCACATGGAGCATGATGACACTTTGACTAATCATCGCGCCAGCCAGAGAAACTTGACAGGTTAACTTGAGCCTGAGCGAAGTTCATCACCTTAGTTCAACGGGCTGAGGGCGTTGTTTCCGGAATGGCGGCAACACAAATTATGCCTGGGACCATGGAACAGTTTTGCAGTTGAGCTCAAACATGCTCGAGCGTATATGATGGTTTTGGTGGTGCTGTGGGTATTGACTAATGAGCGGAAATCAACATCGGGTTACAAGGCAATCAGTCAGATCCAAATCCAAGATCCGAACCAGGATTTCAAAGCAGTCCTACGGTCAGCTACCGGGGCTCGTTGAAAATGGAGGCAGCTCTCCAATGGCAAGCAGCACATCTGCAAAGGAGATTCGACAAACCCAAGCAGGCTCTGAAAACCCGGGTCGGTGCGCTGTACGAGGGCTACGATCCAATTAGCTGGATCGTGACCGCCAGAATGTGCGCGCTGTTGACACCGGCCTTGTTGGATGCCCTTATGTAATCAACTTACTCCACATCCTTACAAACACAGCCGTAACAAAGCAGGAGTAGAGCGCACAGCAGATGGAGGGCAGAGAGCGCCATAGATTTCCCGTTTTTCCTTATTTCTTATCTTTTCCTTTTCAAACATACCGATCCCACGACAATGCCCACAGACGTCACAAAACCCGAGGATCAATGACACCCGAAGATACCAACCAGACTTCATACCACAATGTATAACTTATCCCCTCATGTACATGTACGCTACGGTGTTATGACGGGATAGCCGCACTGCCACGTCATCACGAGGCCGCGGGGTAATAAGAGAGACTTATCATCACCCGCGAATGTCACAAGAATATTTCGAGGACCCAACTTCATCTCAGGTCACTCATCCCACTGGCGGTCATGACGGGCCGCGGCTCGTTATCACAGCTCTCCCAGTGGAGATTTTAGTCAACATTTTAAAGTACCTTCCCTTGAGTGGTCTCTTGAGATGCAAACAGGCGAGTTTTTATAAGGACTTGGCTCGCTCTTCCCTCAAGCCCTCACGAAAACATCTCATGATTTTATATAAATGGTGTTTACAGACAACCAAAGCACTTTTTTATGTTATCGAAGGATCGTTAGTGCTCCAGTATAAGATTGAGCGTGAGGCTTGCCTCCTGGCTGGTGCCGTTGCTGCTTGTATGGTGATGTATATGTGGAGAAGCACGTTGTTGTTACTGAATGTTTACCTTGTGGAATCTCAGACCTAAATCGACTCCCAGCGGCAGAGAAACTTTTGGATCTTCGCAGGCGGGAGGTTGGATGGGCTAGTCTGAAATGGCAGCCTCAAACATATACCATTCCGATCGATCCATCGGATTCTATTCGTGGTTTATACGAACTGCAGCACGGATTCTTCGCGCGTGGGTGGTGCAAAGCATCCACATCGGGAGAACCTGATGGTTTGTGGCTTCAGCCTCTTCCGGGAGTCGTGGGTCGTCCTTCGAGTACAAAGAGTCGCAGATTATCACTAGTACCTAATTCGATTGGTTCTGGGAGTCAGGTCAGCCTGGAAGGTGGAGATGACGATGGTGTTGAGATAGACTCGATTCAAACGCCTATCTTCAACTATCTTGGCTTCGAATTTCAAGAGTTCAATATCGATCCAGAACAGAATTTGGCCGTTTACGTTTGCCGGGGCCCTGATATTGATGGGGATCTTGGCAGCATGATTGTCAAAATAAGGCAAATGTCTGACAATGCCTTACACCCGCTTGCCCGATACGAGACCCTCGATACTCGTTCGATGTCGCCTGAACAGTGCATGTATTATGTGGAGATATTTGGCGACTTTATTGGCGTCATGGTACGGGGGCTCCTCGTTACGAATTGTCGTTTTTGGATTTGGAACTGGAAGACAGGCATATGTCAATGTGTATGTATCTGTTTTCTTTATGAAGTGCGCACCGCTAATCATCCTAAACTCCCAAATGAAGGAATTGTCGGGTTTCAGGATGGATTCGTTTCTTTTCTTGTCCCCACGACATTTCGTCATTCCTCGACGCGAGGGGTCTTTCGCCTCTTTATTGGTCTATGCGTTCAGACCGTGTTATTACGACGGGCCCCCTACTAAACCTTGTCTTCCATCTCAGCATATTGCAACATTCCAATTACCACAATTGTCCTCGGGGTCGGCGTTTTCACGTCCTATCTGGTTGCGCTGCGAGCCTACTCCTGTCTTCGAAGCTCCAGAATATGAAAAATTATCTCCAGCGGAACCGCCGCCTGCAGACGGACCTACTCCAAATACATCCTTGCCACTAGGTTCGGCCGGAGGCCCCTCCACAACGACCAACAATCCGCCGAAACCAGCACCTGCTAACGCTCTCAACGGATTGTTCGTTCGTCCACGCCAGGACGATTTCAGGGTTGCAGTCTTTTCATTTGGTCTGGGGTCCGCCATCGAACCAGATGCATACAAAATGTTTGTTGCCATGTCCGATATCTACCGCATGGCTAAACGTTTCGAGAGTGAATTTCATGCGAGTAGGGAGACACTGCACCATCATCCAGACGCCAACCCCGATAACGTCCATGCCCTTCCTGTCCATGTCCCATGGGATAATTGGGGACGTCGCTCTGCGCGTTTATTGGAGATTTCGGGTGGAGAGACATGGGTGTGCTATATTTTCATGAACCGATACATCTTTCGCACCCTCGAGTTCGAACTGGTGCCCGGAGAGGTTGAAGAGAACGTTATTCATCTAGATCAGATTTGCACTTCCCGCCTCCATGTGCTGGATTTCAACCCTTATTCGGTCCTTGCTGGATCTGTCCCTAAAAGGAACGATATGCCACCTACATGGGAAACCTTGTTTGGAGACACTGTGTTTGCTGAGGACGCCCGGGCCTCTAATTCCGATGATGGGGTCGAGCACAGTGTGGACATGGAAAGACAGTCAGGCATCGAGGAGCCCCCGTCATCCCATTCGAATGAGCCATCAAGGATGTCAAAGGATTACAGGATCTGGGGTCGTATGGAGACTCACCTGGAGTCGACTGAATCGCTCGACCTCGGCTTCGCTTGCCCGGTCATCAGTAGACTTCCATACCGCCAGGTGACAAGTAATGAAACATTCCCAGGAGACGTGTCACCCATGATAGATGCGGAGAGGATATTGCTTGTTGATGTGAGTCTTTACTTCAAGAACCTTGGTCATAGTATGTTCGACAACATTCTGGTTTTTCAGAACACACGAGACACCGTGGAAGTTTTGGTCATTTAAATGCTAGTATCGATTTGCCAATTTCCCTCAACTGTATGCAACGTGCCCCTTCCATATTGTTGGATTGTATATCGAATATCTTTGTTTCTCGCAAAGGGACCCTCGCCAACCCCTGATGCAAGACTCTCCGGATTCAGTTCTTTATTTATTGGTGCAGATGCTGCTTCAACTTGCGACTCCTTCCTCAGTGTTGCAAAAATAGTACCGCTTACAATCCGATACCAGGGACCAATAATGTACCGAGAAGTGGCGCAATGACAGGAAGGTGCCACAAACTGCCTGGTTCTCTCTGATTGCAGCGCGTGCCGACGCAATTCAAGCCACCGCTTCTGAGTTGATGAAAATCGAAATGGGTGCCTGTACACACTTTAAGGGTTGAGGCACGGACACAGTGAGGTTAGCTGCGATATTCCAGATGATGGATGCAGCGCAGAATTCTAATAATCAAAGCTCGCGCTTGGACCGTGAATCCGGGCACTATCTGGCATGGAGAAACAGAAACTGAGAGGGCGCGGGCCATGTGTGCAACTCGTGCAATTCAGGGAATTGCTACTGCCAAAGGATTGAACAAGCCAGTCGCTCAGCACATATTTCCCATCAACGTGCCAGGGAAACCTGATGGGCCAATTTGGGCGAGCTCAGCTTGCGGTGGGAATATCTCGGTTCGTCATCACCATTTGGCACGAGAGCAGTAAGCAGCATGGATCAAAGCAGGTGTGGGTCTAGCCACCATGCATGGTTATCGTATTGGTTAGTGCCAGGGTAACACTAGCTAGGTGACAGCACTTCGTACAATTGGATTCAAACAGGCTTGAAGGTGGAAGGCGGTTTTGGTTGTTAGATGAGGACGTCCGCCCGAGCCAGCGGTGCAATCAGTCGGCCCCATCAACATGGATAAGAGCTGAAAGCAGAAGTAGTCCTCCGACGGCAAGCCCCTTCCTCACGACGGGACATCTGCAAAAAGGATTTCGCATGCATGATACCGTCGAGCGCGCCAGCTGGAGCGCTTTGTTGGGGAACCTTACGTAATGAATTCAATCCACTTGCAAGAATGTCAGAGGACCTCGTCTCATCTCAACTCATCCAGCTCAGCGTCAATCATGATAAGCCGCGACTCATTATTACGGCTTTCCCAGTGGAGGTTTTGGTTAACATTTTGAAGCACCTTTCCTTGAATGATCTCATGAGGTGCAAACAGGCGAGTTTTAGTTAGAAGCAGTTCGCTTGCCCTTTCGTTCCCCCTCGCTCCTCACGTTTTTATTCCTGTTTGTCGTACATTTTTATGGTTCTAATATAAGTGACGTTCGTAGGCAACTAAAGCCTTTCTCTATGTCATCGAGGGGTCGTTGGTTCTCCAGTATAACATCGAGCGCGAAACTTACCTTCTTGCCGGTAGCATTGCCGCTTGTACGGGTGATGTACATGCAGAGACTAATGCTGAATGTTGATCTGATGAGACCCCAGATCCAGATCGTCTCTCTATTGCAGAGAAAATTACGAGTCTTCGTAGGCGGGAAGTTGGATGGGCTAATTTGAAATGGCGGTCTCAAACATATACCGTTTTGGCCAATCCATCGCCCTATCTCAGATTATACGAACTGCAACATGGATTCTTTGCGTATGGGTACCACACATCTGGCACGTATAAGGACCCTGATTGTTTATCGCTCCACCCCCTTCCGAGAGTCGCGGATCGTCTTTCGAATTCAATGGCTCACGGATTATCATCCGCACTGCTCGAGTCAATTGATTCTGAGCGTCAGATGTACCTAGAAGGTGGAGATGGCGATGACATTGAAATAGACTGGTCCCAAACGCCTATTCTCCACCACCTCGATTTCGGGTACCGGCAGTTCAGTATCGATCCGGAACAGAATTTGGTCATTTACGTTTGCCACGACTCCGATAGAATGATTGTCAGAATAAGGCAAATGTCTGATAATGCCTTTCACCCGATGGCCCGATACGAGACTCTCGATATTCGCTGGATGTTGAGGGGTAATTACATTTATCTCGAGATCTTTGGCGACTTTGTCGGCGTCATGATACTGCAGTATGGGGATAGGAATCACCACTTTTCGATTTGGAATTGGAAGACAGGGATATGCCAATGTGTGAGTGTATTTCACCGGCTCTGCATATGAGGCATTGCCCTAAACCTTGGGGGTATAGAGACTCTCGGATTCCATCATGGGATCATTTCTTTTCTTATCTCCGCGCCATTTCATCATTCTTAAACATGAAGAGGATTCCGTCTCGCTAGCGGTTTATTCATTTAGACCTTGTTATTACGACGGTCCCCCTGTCAAACCTTGCCTTCCATCTCAGCATGTCGCGACATTCCAATTACCCAATTTCTTACCCGAGTCGGCGTATTCATTCCACATAGAGTTGTACTGCCGGCCCAGTCCTGTCTTTGAAGCTCCAGAATATGAAGTTTTATTCGGAGGAGACTCGATGCCTGCAGATGGAGCTATTCCAAGCATGCCCTCCCCATCAAGTTCAGTTCAAGATTCCTCCGCAACCCCAATCAATCCGCCAAAATGGGGGGGTACATATGCTACCAACGGACCGTTTGTTCGTCCCCGGCAGGACGATTTCAGAGTCGCTGTCTTTTCACTTAGTCTAAAATCCTCTACGGGGGACGGGGGTTACAAGATGTTTATCGCCGTGTCCGATATCTATCGCATGACCAAACGTTTCGAGAGCGATTTCCATACCAGTGGAAAGATACTGGATGACGATCTAGATGTCAACTCTGACGCCGACTGCGCGCTCCCTATCCATGTTCCATGGGATGATTGGGGGCCTCGTTCTGCGCGCTTGTTGGAGACTGCGGATAGGAAGCCATTCTGCTCTATTTTCATGAACCGACACATCTTTAGCAGTCTCGAGCGTATGCCGATGTCTGAAATGACTCGAGAAGATCCCCGGCAAGCCCATCAACGGGGTTCTTTTACCCGCCTTCATATGCTGGATTTCAACCCCTATTCGGCTCGTGCTGGGTCTATTGGCATGAGAGATAACACCGATTCCGATGACAGGATTGAGCATGGCGCAGACGCGGAAAGATGGTCAGGCAACGAGGAGCCCTCTTCATCCAGTTCGATCAGGCCACCAAGGATATCAAAGGATTACAGGGTTTCAGGTCGTATGGAGACTCGCCTCGAACCGACCGTATTCGCAAGCCCTCATGTTGACGAGGTCGTCGTTGGATTTCCATGCCGCGAGGTGACGAGTGATGACACATTCTGGGGAGATCCGATACCGGTGATAGACGCAGAGAGGATATTGCTCCTAGATGTGAGTCTACCTTACACGTTCATCTGACGAGCATGGCCATAGTATGATTGTTTCCGGTTTCCTAGAGGGGACAAAGCCTTGTGAGAACCTTGGTCATTTAAACGCATGTCGCCCGTATGGATTGTCTAATATTACCCCAGTTTTCAATGGCCGCTACAGTGCTCTGGACCTTCATGTTGCTGAGCCCGGCTATATGCAGCGCACCATTTCGGATTATTAGGAATACCTTGTTGCTGACTCTTGATGGTGCAATCGCCACCTCGCGATTCTTACCGTGGACGGACTGGTGATGTGTCGCTGCTTGGCTCGCCAGATGCTTCGGTTCTACCTGGCGCCATGTGGGGGGGCTGAATTAGTGTCAAGCTGCTCACCCAGCTCGCCTGTTTGTTGGCGGAATGGTTGTGGAAGCGCTCCAGCTATTTTCACTGGATTTTCGATCTTGCAAATTTCTCCTGAACAACAGATCCTACATTTTTTATGCGTTGTGTAACTTAGGTTATGAGCTGACATCGTCATGTGCTTATCAACTTGTGATTCTTCTGTTAACCTGGGAGTCCAACCCCACCGGTGCCCTGCGGTCGACAAGCCGGCGGCGATATATTGCGGAAGTGGAGGAACTAAAGCACACAAGCTAGAGCCTTGGGGGCAAGTCCACACTTTGTTATGTTTCACGCTTATGCTTTGATATTTTCCCTTTGTTGCTATAAGTGGCGCACTTGGGACGTGGCTCTGCGTCCCAGCATGTCACACGATGATAAGCTCGGCCTGTTTGTAGGATGCACGATATCTATCATACTGCGATATCGTGCTCAGTGGATCGCTAGTTATCTTAAACATCTCCCGCAACTAGTGCAGCCTTAGTTGGCCGAGCTTGCGAGGCATTTGTTTAGAAAGGGTGTCATTCCGTTGGAAAGTGCAATCCCATACCCCCCTGAGAAATAGCGGGTGCTGCCATTCAAACAAAACCCGGTTTGTATGGAACTGACTCCGAACATGCGAGTCGTTCTTATCCTAGTCAGCAACTGTGTTCGGGGTTGAATTGGGAGGACGAGATATTGGCATTTGTAGTCACAAAATGGCCCAAACTTGCAGACGCCCATACGATGTCAATTGGCTGAATAACCCAATCCATACAAAGTACTTACACTTAAGTTTGGCTTTAAAAGCGTTGTGTACATGCATCTAATTGAGCTTCCCCTGCTTCATGTTTTGTATGTATGGGGGTCCACCAATGGATACGTTCTTGAGTTACTGAAAAGCGTAGGAGTTGACGTGAGAGAATATGATGTACTCGCACGTCGGACTGAACCAAGAGGGTTGCTCACACTTTTTATTTTTTTTTTCATATGTCGTTCATACTTGCAAGTAAGTGGGCCATTCAAATATTCATCTATCAAGAGGGTCATATATATATGCCCTGACCCCAGCCCAGCTGATGCGTGCTATTGAGATGGAGATGTACCCAACCTCAATACTAGGTCCGTTACACAATGGCAACAACAACCAGCGACGCAGCAGCCAAAGGCATACGCTGTCGTTAAGACAACTTGTTCATGCCTCCTGCGGGCAAAGACAGCGCCCAGGACGAGCAGAACAGACCACAGGTTGAATTGGTCCGCCCCCAGTGTGAAATTCGGATCTTGAGCTCGAGATCCATGCACAGACGCTGCTAGCACCTCTATAGATTTGCATAGCTGGACCGGCTGTCCGCGCATTCTTAACAACCTTACGTAATGAATCCAATCCACTTGCAAGAATGCCAGAGGACCTTGTCTCGTCTCAACTCTCCCAATTCACCGTCAATCATGATAGGCCACGGCTTATTAATACCGCTCTCCCGGTGGAGGTTTTGGTTAACATTTTGAAGCACCTTTCCTTGAATGATCTCATGAGGTGCAAACAGGCGAGTTTAGTTCGAAGCAGTTCGCTTGCCCTTTCGTTTCCCTCCCCCCGCTCCTCGCGTGTTCGTCATCCGTTTTTATGGTTCTAATATAAGTGACGTTCGTAGGCAACTAAAGCCTTTCTCTATGTCATCGAAAGGTCGTTGATTCTCCAGTATAACATTGAGCGCGAAACTTGCCTTCTTGCCGGTAGCACTGCCGCTTGTACGGGTGATGTATATGCAGAGACTGATGCTGAATGTTGATCTGATGGGGCCTCAGATCCAGATCATCTCTCTATTGCAGAGAAACTTACGAGTCTTCGTAGGCGGGAAGTTGGATGGGCTAATCTAAAATGGCAGCCTCAATCGCAGAGGACTTTGACCGATCCATCACGTCCTATCATTGCTACGGCTAAGTACGAATTGCAACATGGATTCTTTGCGTATGGGCACAAAGCATCCATTTACCATGGCTTTGATTGTTTATGCCTTCACCCCCTTCCGAGATTCGCGGATCATCCTTCGAATTCAAAGGGTCACGGATTGTCATCCGCACTGCTCAGGCCAATTGATTCTGAGCGTCAGGTGAACCTAGAAGGCGGAGATGACGATGATGTTGAAATAGACTGGCCCCAAACGCCTATTTTCCACCGCCTCGGCTTCGAGTTTCTGGACTTCAGTATCGATCCGGAACAGAATTTGGCCATTTATGTTTGCGACGACTCTAATAAGATGTTTGTCAGAATAAGGCGAATGTCTGATAATGCCTTTCACCCGATGGCCCAATATGAGACTCTCGATGCTTGCCCGGTGTCGGGCCGTTTGCACATTCTTGTCGAGATCTTTGGCGACTTTGTTGGCGTCATGGTACGGGATTCTTTGGATGTGAGTCACTATTTTTGGATTTGGAATTGGAAGACAGGGATATGCCAATGTGTAAGTGTCTTTCACTGTCTGCATATGAGGCATCACCCTGAACCTCCAGGGTACAGGAACTTTCAGATTCCATCATGGAATCTTTTCTTTTCTTATCTCCGCGCCATTTCATCATTCCTCAACGTGAAGGGGACTCTGTCTCGCTAACGGTCTATTCATTTAGACCTTGTTATTACGACGGTCCCCCTGTCAAACCTTGCCTTCCATCTCAGCATGTCGCGACATTTCAATTACCCAATTCCTTACCGTATTCACACCCCATGCGATTGTACTGCCGGCCCAGTCCTGTCTTTGAAACTCCAGAATATGAAAATTTATCCAGAGGCGACTCGATGCCTGCAGACGGAGCTATTCCAAGCATGCCCTCCTTCCCATCAAGTTCAATTCAAGATTCCTCCACAACCCCGGACGATATGCCAAATACATATGCTACCAACGGACCATTTGTTCGCCCCCGGCAGGATGATTTCAGGGTCGCTGTCTTTTCACTTCGTATGTCCTCGACGAGGCGCCGCAGCTACAAGATGTTTGTCCGCGTGTCCGATATCTATCGCATGACCAAACGTTTCGAGAGCGATTTTCATCCTAGTGGAAAGATACTGGATGACGATCTAGACGCCAACTTAAACGCCAACTGCGTGCTCCCTATCCATGTTCCATGGGGTGATTGGGGACCTCGTTCTGCGCGCATGTTGGAGACTGCGGATTGGGAGGCACCCTGCGATATTTTCATGAACCGATACATCTTTAGCACAAATTCATCGTCACCCCTCCCTCGCGCTATCTCAACAATGGACGCACGGCTATGCACCGGATCCGACCTCCTCTTCTTTTCATCAGAAATTCAACCCTAATCTGCTAGACCTTTTCCCTGCAAATCAACTCGATGCTTCCTTACCTGGTGGGGAATATCAGTACGAATACGACCATGAAATATACTGGCCAATGCTATGTAAAAGATGTGGCGTCCGACCCGACGGGAGCCGATGTGAGCCTAGCACAATCGAGGGCCCGGAGATCGAGGTTGTTACGTCATCGCCGATGCTTCAGCCTTGACTCGCAGCCATCTCACTTTGTCTCAGGAAGGAACGGGGGAAGCAACTAGTGGTGACGTTGGTGAAGATCATTGGGAGTTGGAAAAGAAGCGGTGGCAGGGGGTCGATGAAGAGGGAGGCTCAAAAGGAAGGGGTTCCCAGCTCTGGCCTGCTTCCCTTCGGAAGCGGCCGATGATGGTCATGGTTGCGAAATGTTGCACTAATAGTTATTTCATGTCACCACCGCCTTAGAATTTCCTCCAAAGGCAATTATTTACTAAACATCGGTACTCGATGATCAGCAACTAGAGTACTCGCTTCGCTTCGTTGAACTCGGCACACAAAGTATCAGCCATCCATAGATTGTCTCATGATTCCCTCAACTTCTGGCTTCCTGGTATCGCCAGAGATCGCCACCGGAGCCAGGAGTGGTTCCACCAGGGCGACCAGCGAGCGAAGTGGATTGCTGATCTCCACGAGGGAGTCAGCGACCTGAGCGACCGAGCGCTCCATGTCCGTCTCCTCCTGAGACGCCCCCCTCCTCTTCTTCCCCGCACGCGCCGGCGATTCATTGTGTGCGCGTTGTTCAGGGCGCTTGCAGCGCGCCCTCGCCCTCTTACATGCCACACAGGATGTAGATTTCCCGAAGCTGTTGACGCAGCTCAGGTTGCGTTCAACACACCGGTAACACGGTGGCTTCTTGTCTGGCGCTGTTGGCAGCACCAAGGGGACAGATTTTCGCTATTACGAAACAATCAGCCCCTCATCCATACCCGATGATGATTGTCAACGCGTCAGACTCACCTTTTTGGCCACTGCCGCTGCCCTTGCCTCCTGCTCCCTCTCCTTCTGCTCCTCGGCTGCGCGACGCCCCGCTTCCTCCCGCTGCCGCTGCTCTGCCGCTCACTTCGCTTGCAGCCGCCGCCTGCGCTCTCGGGATTTCGCAACTAAACCTAATAACGCCCCATAGTGGAACGGACAAAGTCACGTGCACAGCCACGAAAATTAGGAACAAATATTTCGAAACCAACTGGAGATATGTATTTCGTGAATATATTACAATATCATAAATAAATGATCATGTGGGGATAGTCCAATCTGAATTGCTCGACTCTGAATTGAATCTGAACCACAGGAGCATTACATCGCCATCTCCCCAACCTATTTTTAAAAAATACTAGTTGAACTGCCTTCGGCTGGTTGCGAATTTCCGGAGGGCAACTGCTAAGTCACAATGCGAGCATTACAATACTGTACTCTTCACCAATTGAAGTGGGAGACCAATCCTAAGCATGAGTTTCATTTTGTACAGCATCAACTCTTGTTATCACAGTCACAATCATGTACAGTACATTCATTTTGACGCCGATGGCAGTTCCAAACAATGAGCCACACACCATCCACTTTGATTTTCATATTGAACCGTGAGTATGTTATACCGAATGTCACTCAATTTCAATCATTCTCGTTTTGTTCGGTCGTGTTGGGAGGCGTAAGCAGGCAAGGTAGGGAAGGGGAGGGAGAAGCAATTTCATTCGACTGAGAACGGCAGGTAAATGTCTTGTTTAGTCAACAGTGGATAGGAATCCATACTTGGAATTCGTCGTTAACTTGAAAGTGTCCGAGGTGAAGAGTGATGCGTATCAAGGCATTTGGTTCAGAGATTTCTAATGCTAAATCCAAATTGCTGGGACGCTGTGGGACCAATGTTGTGAATGTGATGCAAGGAGGGGAGTGAAGCGCAATCAACGAACCAGGAGACAGACGTGAAGATGGGGTCTTCTGTCATGTTCATGCTGGATGAAACTCAGCCAACCATCGATGTTGTTTGTCCAGTTCTACATGTGTGCTTCATAGCGGTTGCGATGTTGTGAGGCAACTGTACCCACCGATATGACTAAAGAACCGCGTCGCTGCTGTACAATGAAGTTTCGGTTCTCTCTGTCATGGTCCATACTTAGAGGTGGTCGAGGAGGAGGTCTCATTTTACACCCGTTATATACGTAGACTGCGAGGTTAGGTTATGGATGATGGACGGCCATAATCATGCATGCATTGAGAGCTGCAGAGGACCCTCACTCAGACACGAAGGCAGAGAGCATGGCATACTCAGTACTCAGCCATTTTCGCATGTACACACATGTACCTGTACCTCAATCCCAGACTCCGTTTTGTTCAGTATTGACTTTCGTCGTTCACACCAGTCCTCAGGACTTTATGACAATTGCATATATCTCCTCATCGGTCGTCAATCGTGTGACTGTCTACCAGTGTAGTGTGGGCGCTGGTGGAGTTGTATATGTTTTGGATCGGATTTCAACACTCAGTTCACCGCTGAGTAATTGCACTTTTTGCTGAGTAATCACACTTTCTGCTGAGTAATCTTTCCCTTTTTTTTATGGGCAGGGGGGTGGGTTTCTTTTTTCTTTTTTTTTTTTTTTTCCTTTTCGATGGGCAGCAAGAGTTTTTTTTTACATCATTTTCGATGGGTCCACAGTTTGAAACGTAAAGAACAGAAGAATCATACAGGTAGTCGCAGACAACACAGATTGTTATTTGGATTTTTTGGGACGGCTCTTACCCTTGCCTTTGCAGTCCGCATCATCTTCCAGCTCCAATTCCACCTCATCCGTGTGGAGTGACATCGGCTTGTTCTTCCTTTCTTCAGTCGGCCCACTGGTGGTCGCCATTGATTCCCCGTGGATGACGGACTCCAAAGTGGTTTGACTTTTGGAAGAAGATGCCTTTGGACCACCAAACATGCATTTTCATTTGTTTGGAGAAGAGGTTGGCGTTCCGGGGTTCGCACCTTCTGTTAGGGAGACGGCCCCAAGGTATGCAATGTTTTCGATGAGCCAGTGCGTGCGATTACTGGAGTCACGTTTCCATTTCACTTGGACATTAAGATTCGAACCCAGGCGGGGTACACGGAAATTATCGAAGCGATGGTTGGAGTTGTCGAAGTGAAGACGCACTTCGAAACAGACTTGGGTTTTTTCCTGCGAAAAATGTTGAAGTCAAGAATGCCAACTGCCAGTTGGGGACGAACCTTTGGACTATAAGTACTAACGTTCAGTCCAAATTCTCGGCCGGAACCATTACCCACAGTGGTGACTTGACCCACGAAGTGGGCAGTAGCAAGTCGGGCGTTGGAGGGCTGCATGTCTTCTGCCGAAATTCCGAAATTTTCAACAGTGGAGGCGTCCAACATCATGATGGGACCATTGACCACTTCAGGCCCTTCATTCATGATGAGAAAATTGCCAGAAACATAAGCCACACAATCTTCTTGTGCATTGTCTTTCATAGGAGACTGAGTGTAGATGGTCATTGTGATTTCGCGAATGTTTTGGTCACCGACAGGACCGTCCCCTGCTAAACAGAGAATGAAAGAGCAGCGCGGTCCTTCAGTAATGCCGTTGGAACAAACGGGAAACAATCCAGACAGATGTGAGGACGACATCAGAAGCAGTGGTGATGATCGAAGTTCACGTTTGGAAAGGCAGGGGAAAGTGGAAGTCTCTTTTGAGAGGATGTATATATTCAGAGGTGGCGGAGAGGGACAGAGAGGTGATGTCATTAATCTGTATATGGACCTCTCACTTGAACGGATCATCAACCCATGACTGCACCTTGATTTAGAAGTTCACTTATGCAAGTGCGGCAAAACATTTTAAGAAGTACCCAGAAGTTTCTTATGTACGACATTAGCTACGTCAGGCTGATGTTGAGGGATGAATAACAAAGTGTGGGATCAATGACGAATTCGAGATAATGCGGTGTATAGTTGACCGTGAGCGAACACATCTTGCCTGCAGTCTAGGACGATCCGATCCAGCGTGAGTCCTTGACAACTGTTGAAAGTGGAGGAGTATGCTAATCTGAGTGGAAATTGTTTTCGGCGAATCGTATAACGGGCATAGGGGGGTTGGAAGTCGAAGTTGATACGGTGAAGGAGCGGAGCTGGATCACCTTATGTAACCAGTTTCCTACGTCCAATAACGATATTAGAGTTTGTGCTGATTTGCGTACTGACCGTGTTTTGGTTGCCAAATATATGATTGTTCACTGTCTAAACAACAATAAACACCCCCCAACGATCTCACCTGATGTATAGATCGTCTACGGATAAAATTCTATATTGACTTTACTATGATTTCTAGTCAATATTACACCTATATTTACCACTTTTCAGTAGGATGTGATTTTCCTGATAATTTACTGAAGGAAAACTGCTAATAAAATAATTCCGCAATAAATGTTACTCAATACAGGAGTGACCAAACTGCTCTTTCTATCGCTTAGAGTGCGTGCTAGTTATCTAGCAGGTTCAGGATCGCTCACTTTTCTCCTGTGGTGTGATAACCAAGTATTGCTGAGAGATTATTCAATTAAGAAGTCCCTCCACCAAATTCTCACTAATTCTCACTATGACACTTTTGTTCAGCTGTGTCTAACTGACCCTAACTCACGCTTAGAGTGACGTGTTAGTTTTATATTAGCTAACAACTAATATTTGCTTTTATCTTTTGGAGCAAACGAACCAACCACTGGTGAGGAGAATTAAACTTTTATTTCTACCTGAGGTTTGAGAGGGGGCAGAAGCGGTGGCCTTTTATGCTTTTCAGAGGCCTCTCTACTCCCACGCCTCGCACTAGTTACATGTGCTACATTTGTATTATAGATAGTTCTAGAATGATATAGGGGGTTGGGCTGTGTAAGCTTAATAATGGACTTAGGACATGACTCAGCAATAAGTAATTCATTTCTTTGTCTTTTGGGCCGATCTCAGCGGGATCTTGTAGCGCTGAAGCTATGCTCTACACCGCCTTAATTACGAACGGTTATCTTTAGAAATGACTCAGCTATAAAGGAACTTTCTAGACTGTTCTCTAATTGACCCCTTTTTGTGAAGCCACATCATTACTAATGTTCTAGAGCCTTCCCAATTAATTAACTGATCCGCGGACTTCTGAATCACTTCATGCTTATGATCCGAGATCCAGATCATCAATCATTCCTTTGTTCCGATTTATTTGGGCTTAAAATCAAAAAGTTTTGATGAATCATGGGAAAATATACAAGATCCGGTTTTTTAGCATTTTCTCCTCTTCTGATGCGATCAAAAACTGTCCGCCCGCGCCGGGGAATACTCTATCATATGGTATTCGGTCCGCCAGACTTCCGGGCGCCAATATATTTCCCTTGAGTCACATTACCTTTTGTAAGAATTAGCAAATAAATATATATGAATTATAAGGTGTTTCGCCGTTTGAGCGATATCTCCGTCAGTTTTGAAGCTTTTAGAATGAAACAAAACCGTGGATAAAGTTAAGAAACAGTCCTTCCAGATGGTAAAAAGATTACAGTCAAAAGTTTACTGGTTCCCGAGATATTTACATTTCTTTCCCAATGTTCCTTCTTATTCTGCCGTCTATGTGCTATTTTCTTGTTGTAGGGATATATTCTTTGAATATTACACCTATGTCAAGTTCTAGGCATGATTGTAGTAGATTAAATCTCATACTACATGGGTGTAGATATTTTATAATGATCTTCTAATGTCTGTCCAGTCTCATAAAGATCATGAGATCTGTTAAACATCTGAACTTGTCACCTGTTCGTTGACTATTCTGATAGATCATTGTTTTATTCTTTGAATATTATTTCTCCTACAACGGGGAATCAGATGGGAGACGTCTGGACGGTTGCCTCGATTCAGCACTCGAACTTCTATCCAACGTGATCGACAGCTGACAATCAGCACTCGTTGATTTTTCACCAATCCTTTCGGTACAGACAGGTTGCGTAGTAGAGCACAGACGGCCCCTGGTTTCAGTTTTAGCTCGTGATTAGGTGCTTCTGTGGACACCATGAGGGCCAAGTAGTCTGGGGAGGCGACAATGTGGGAATCATTCAGTGTCCCATCATCATCCACGATGGAATTGTAGCTAAAGTGAATGGCTGGAGGACTGGGGATTGAGTGACTGCACTAACTGAATTAGAAAGGAATCACTGACATAAAGGACCAGCCAAACGTTGTAGTAATGTTTCGTTAAACTCATCAACCAATGCGTTCAGGGGAGTCAGGAAAGCCTGTCGGACAGCATTCAGGGGGTCTGACAAAATATGAAATGGGAAGAGGAAATTTTGTACCACATCGAGGTCGTCCGTGCGAGGAAAGAAGGAGTCAAGAACAATCCGAGATTGCGAGCAATCTTCTCCGACTGAGTCAACAAATCTGCTCAGTTTGGGATCTACAGCATTCCGCATTGGTTGCCACAGTTCAAGAACTGTGAATTTTGGCCACCACTGCCAAGACAGCACTGAGGCCCGAAAAATGTCCATTTCTGAGCCATGCTTGATCACTGGTGCGACTTGTCGAGAGTCTCCTATTGTTATGACAACTTTTCCAC